CTGTTCACCCAACAGCCATGCAGTTCTTTGGCACGAAGGAGACACTTTGAGCTTGGGTTGGACAAAAGAGTGCCAGTAGTCATTGCAACATGTCTGTTTTTTTATAGTGCTACACTCACCATATAAAGTCCATTATAAAATCGCTAAAAATGCCTGACAAAAAGATGCAGGTACCTGTGATGATAGTGCTTTGCATTGTGGCCTATGGTCTCAGCAAATCAAGCAGAAAACCTGTGCAAATTACAAAGGCACAGGAGACTCTGGGCTGGAGAGATAAAAGAGAAAAAGCCTGAGGTTGGCTCTTGGTCAGCTGGGTACCAGAGTTCGAGGAAGATGGTTTTGATGTAGTGTACTAAACATTGTGTGAACGATTATTGCAGGATTATTGTGGAAGTGAGCAGCGATGGCTATGGCTGAATAAACTGTGGTTGAATAGAGTGTGAGAATAGGGATGAAAAAACCCGGCAGAATTTACATTAGAACCTGAGCGCAGTTCAGCATCATTAATTGTAGACAGTTTTGTTTGTTCCCAAGTTGGTAGCTGTGCACATGTGCGACAAGGTCACGTGAAGCAACAATGCTAGCTAGAATGTGGAAACCCTAGATCGAAGCCAGGATAGAATCTAGCAATATTAAAAGCAGCTAGCATTATTGCAGTACCGTTGAGTACCACCAGAAAGAAAAAGAAAGCATATATGTTAGGAGGTTGAAAGGGGTACCTGGAATATGACCCATTTCTTGAAATTCTTAGTCCCAGGTGGTCAAACTGTCATACTGAAGATGATGTAACGTCATAATTAGTCTGGCATATGGATGGCCAATCGGTTACAACAACTGCCTCTCATGTGAGAGACCTGAGTTCAACCACCAGTAAGGTGATATGACTTTTTCTGTCAGGGGCAAAAATAAGCATCCTAACTTTCAGTCTGCTGTGACAGCACTAGCCTTGTGGCCCTAAATGCTCAGGCTCATCACCTCCATCTACACTGACCTAAAAGTGGTAAGTACAGACAGCAGTGACAGTTGACAGCATCACTGACCTAAAAGTGGTAAGTACAGACAGCAGTGACAGTTGACAGCATCATTGACCTAAAAGTGGTAAGTACAGACAGCAGTGACAGTTGACAGCATCACTGACCTAAAAGTGGTAAGTACAGACAGCAGTGACAGTTGACAGCATCAGAAGTGATGAGTAGAGTATTTAGTGTCATCTTTTTGCTGGATGATAATCTGTAAAAATTTGTACACTTTTTGTTTCCAGTGTCTTCCCTATGTGGACTCCGTGGCAACATTTTGGTTGAATAAATAATAGGCCCACTGACCATAAGCATGTCAGAAATGGTGAAAAATTAAAGAAATTGCTAAAATTTGATGTTTTGGACTAAAGGGGTCAGATATCCCTGCCTAGCTGTAAATCCTAAAACAATATGCACTGCTATTTTTAAGGATGAACGTAGATGAAGAAGAGGAGGAGGAGTAGAAATGGAATTATTAGTCTGTGGGAGGTGATGTGTGGGGGAGTGTTCATTGTCTTCTTGTTGCATGATCATACCTTGTAAATATTTTTACTCTTCTTGTTTCCTGTGTCTGTGACACACCCCGTTTTGTGTAAACTGCCTTGTGTTTTTGTCGGTATGTCTTGGGGAAGTAAAGACGGCCGGCGCAATGCTGACCATATTACCCACCAAGTGCCGATTGGTCTGTAAAAATATGGGTGCTTTTCCCATATGCCCGATGTGCCTAAAGCATAAAAAAGGAACTTTACACACAGATTTCGCCAAAAAATTTAAACACAGTAATCAGCCAGCAGTTAAATGCATAAACTTTTTCACAGAGGCAACTTGTTTTAAAATATCATCATTACTTGACATATTCCACCGTAATTAGAACAAAATACGGTAGCTATGTGTTGTATTATGATTATGAAATGTGTCTGGAGGCTAATGGGAATCGCTTAGAGCACCTGTAGTAACTTCACACATCATGTGTAACCTGTATGCATCTCTTCGTGTCAAAATAAATTTTAGTATTAAAATGTTTATACAGGTTGTTATTTTAAAAATGCCATGCAACATATTGCTACCGTAATGTATTCAAATACCACAAATATTGTACATGTAGATACACTTCACTGCTGGGTGATTTACTGTGTATACATTTTTTGTGCCTAAGTCTGTATATAAGCCATTGCTTTGTGATGTCTTTAACCATATTGTAAATCTCATTGTCTCGCTTATTGTTATGACTGCTATTCCCTGTGGGTTCTAGGAGGTCCAATGTGAGACGATGGAGATGGCTTGGACATGTTTGCAGAATGCCTTGTGACACTCTGGAAAAAACAGGTCTCCGGTGGACAGCAGATGGGAAAAGGAGACATGGACAACCTAAGGAAACCTGGAGAAGGACAATAGAACGGGAAATGAAGGAATGTAAACTGGCATGGGATACCATGGGCAGAAAAGCAGCAGACCGGCAGCAATGGATATCACTTGTGAATGCCTTATGTGTCAACAGCAACATAAAGAGGATATAGAATGTAGAGGGGTGAGGGGATAGACCCACTGCCTCCCCAACAAGCATGTCATAAAAGGCAACTAATAATGAATGTTTCCTTCAAAGTTGGACTGCGTCTGCATAAGAGGCAAACGGGGAAAAAACAGTCCGCATACAAATAAGTCAGATGTGTAAAATGGATTTGCAGGAAAAACTCAAGTTCTGAAACAAGATTTAAGTGCAGAAGTGGACAAATAACCAGAACTTTCTGCCAGGAAATGTTATGAAGAAGATCCTCTTATGTGATTGCTTTTATCTGTTCCACAAAGAAACAGTTATTTTTATGATATCATTACTATGTAATGTAGTAAATCCCATTGCCTCACTCATTGTTAAAATGAAAACAGTTTGAATACATATTTAATGATAACAAGCTTTTGTTTTAATGTTTGTGACATATTTTATTTTAATGACAAAGAAAGACTGATCACGAGAAAAGAAATTATACATGGCAGCACGCTTCATTGCCTGCTTACTGCTGGGAGAACATCAACTACTAAACACAAACAAATGTTAAGACTACTGAAACATAAATTAATAAACACAGATACCCGTGTTGGTTCTGGGATCCCATTGTGGGGGAAACCAGAATAGACCCGCTGCCTCCCCGACTAGCATGTCATACGAGTCAACTGATAAGGGGCTTCCTTCAAAGTTTGAGTGCATCTGCCTGAGAGGCAAGGAACCAAAAGTTTGCATACAATTAAGTCAGATCTGTTAAATGGATATGCATGCAACTCTCAGGCACAAGACTAAATTCCAGAGGTGGACAAACAAACAAAACTTTCTGCTGGAGTTTACAGCCAGTGAACGTAAAGAAGAAGCAGAAGAAGAAGAAAAAGGAGAAAAAAAAGTCTAAAAATACTGGATACCAACTAGTAAATACGAGCTACAAAAAAAAAACGTAAAGTATTTTTTTGTCTGTTTGGTTTTATATTCAGCAGTTTGTTATTGCTTCTGAATGGTCAGAGCTCCATACCAGTGTCAAAATCAATGCAATGCAATCTGCTGGCAAACTGCCTGCAGTTGAACTGAATCGGGTTTTTCAGAATTATGAAGCGCATTTGCAACGCATAAGCCACAGATGCTGACTAATAAACACTGACTAAAAAAAAACCGAAAATCTCAACTACAACAATAGTCAGAAGTGTCAGACGCTTGTGAATACAAATGAAATAATGGATGTAATAACCAAGAAATTAAAACGATAACAACTACAATAAAGAAACCTTTGAACACAAACAAATCAAAACAAGAAATGCAGAAAAATAACAAAGTGATTCAACTAAAGAACACTTACTCAAAGACAGATTAGAACATCAATTGAAGAAATGTTACCCTTTATTAAAAACCAATTTTCAACAAAAAAATTTTTAATAGTGTATCTAATGCATTTACACATCTCATCATTAATATAATAACGTATTCTGCTTATATATTGGATGATTTATCATACATAACACACATTTTATTGCTAATGAAAATCAAAGTATAATAATATTTTTCTTTTGCCAACAAGGTGTCTATCAGCACAACCCATTTACTTGATACTGTTTCACATCTTCAGTCAGCTTGCATTCTTTACCACAATTGAATATACAACCTATCTCCCCGATAATCTCCTTCATAAAATACCCCTAATCTCCCCTATAATGTTTCAAAGACGAGCATGCAGAAACTGGTTGCAGAGCAAAGAAAGAAGATACACCAGTCAACTCCTACTGGGTACAGTCAGCATGGAAACATTGAGGTAGATGCTGCACCGGAAGACGCAGCACAAATAGACCGCACTGATGTGCTATGATGTAGATGTCCGACAAAAATTACAAGCTTGACTGCATAAAGCTTACATTATATGGTATGTGGGACATTTCAGTTTGTCTTGATAAATATGTTGTTAGCTAGAATCCTTTGCCAAACTTTAATATACAACCCATTTCTCAAAAAATGTGTTTCACTCCTCTAGTCAGCAACCATTGTTTACCACACTTTAATATGCAACCCAACTTCCCAATAATATATTTCATCTCTAGTTAACACCCATTCCTTACCACACTTTAATATGCAACCCAACTTCCCAATAATCTATTTCACATCTCTAGTTAGCACCTATTCTTTACCACACTTTAATATACAACCAACCTCCCCAATAATCGGTTTCCCATCTCTAGTTAGCACCGATATCTCCAGTTAGCACCCATATCTCTAGTTAGCATCCATATCTCTAGTTAGCACCCATATTTATAGTTAGCACCCATATTTCTAGTTAGCACCCACGTCTCTAGTTAGTATCCAAATCTCTAGTTAGTACCCATTCTTAACCACACTTTATTATACAACCCATCTCCCCAATAATATGTATCAAATCTCTAGTTAGCATTAATTTTTAACCACACTTTACTTTAATATACAACCAATCTCCTCAATAATCTGTTTCACATCAATAGTTAGCTTCTATTCTTTATCACACTCAACAAATACTTCAAGAGTTCTGGAAATTGGAACTGCATAAAATGTCCTTTATCGCTAAACTTAAACAGATTTGAATCCAATCCAGTGGCTACCTCCTCCTGTTCAGACCATGGAATAAATGGGTCATCAGTTGACCCAAACTGAGCAATGAATTTTGTGTTGGATTTGATCTTCTGCCATTCCCATGGTCGGTTGTAATACCCACTAGCTCTTTCATTTTCAATCCCTAAGTCAGTGACACATGGAGAGACAAGAACAATCCCGTATACCTGTGAAATATACCAAATAACAATCAATCAACTACAATGAAAGATGGCTGTAATGGATCTCCAACACCTTATTTTTATCCTGGTAGTACACTCTCTCAGACTGCAGTCCCTCCATCTCTAGATGTTAACCTCTCATTTGTATTGCTATCACATGTCAACTGCCTTTAACTTTCCCTTCTAGTGTGGTTTTCTACTTCTTCTTCTTCTTCATATTACCCAGACGTAAATTCCGGCAGAAAGTTCTGGTTGTTCGTCCAAGACTTTAGTCTTGTTCCAGAACCTAAATGTTGTGTGCACACTGGTTTTACAGATCTGACATATTAGTATGCAGACTGGTAGCTCCTTACCTTTCGGGCTGATGTCCAACTTTGAAGGAATCCCCCAGTTAGTCGACTCTTACAACATGCTTGTTGGGGAAGGGGGAGGAGGGGCAGTGGGTCTATTCTTGTTTTCCCCACACAGGAAGTGTGGTTTTCTATTAGTGAAAAGTATAGATTATCAGTACTGATAGACCAGTAGGTGCACATTAATTGCAGATGGCCGGCCAATGTATCATGCAGACAGTGTCAATGCCCTTAGAGAGATAGGACGTTGTGAGGATTTTGGAAGCAACGTGTCAACATCACTGCTAAGAATACAAGAAGTGGGAGTAAAGATCAGCACAGCCAAGCATAAGAAGTACACCGGACGCACATGAAGTCTTGTCAACCAGCATAGGACTGGCACTATTAACCGTGCAACACTGATGAATATGTTGAAGGGGGGAATCCGATGACCTATAGATGTGTCTGGAGTGCTGTGAAGATAATCCAACTCAAAACTCATAACAAGCATTATCATTGCAACACTCTGGACAGCATTCTCGAAGACCCATAGGTTCTTCAATTTCCTCAATAACTCTACGGGCTTAAAACAGCTGATCATGCCTGTTTTGTGTTGATTCATCAGATGCTTCATGCCCTGGGTGAAATGCTAACATGTGGCATCTTCTGGGTCAACCCCTATGTCGACCAGCCTGAACAGAGATACCCAGTTATGATATTTTTCTGTACACCTTCTCCTCTGCAATTTATGACCATAATAAAAAAGAAAAGTTAAAAACAGTAAATAATAAAGAAAGATAACTATAGGGATAATGTCAAAAGGTTATCAGAACTGATGCAGTAAATGTATACTATGTATTTTGCGTATTATGCGCAATGATTATACTTACAGAATTTGAATTCTGGAGTTTTATGTAAACCTTTTTAACCTATTTGAATGACAAATACCATCATGTAGCAGGTCCTTTGCAAAATGTCGCTCTCATCACGTTCTGCCTGAAAGAAACTCAGTCTCTCGCCACGCGTACTTTCATATTCAAAGAATGAATGACAATAGTTTCAAAAAATATAAATTAACCTATGATACCTTAGTCGGAACAGAACTTTGTCATAAGTCGAGGAGATCCGGTTTCTGACTTTCCGATGTGCATCAAAAATGGCATTGATGACATCACTCCTGTCCAGTAATGGACCAGTCTTAGCAGCTGCAGTGTGAACAAGATAATCTAAGCCCTTGTTACCTGGTAGCTCTAGATTAAAAATTTGACATATATGACAACAAAGGTCTTAGAAGAATATTAAATCTCTATTGGAAAGATTCAGATCCAATTTGCAAATGAGCCAAGAGACCAAGCAAAAGAGTGTATCCAATTTTTTTAAGAAAGCGCCGCTGGAACTACATTGGCCATGCATCAAAATGGATAACACAAGACTTCCCCATCAAACCCTCATATGGACACCAGAAAAGACAAGAAAAACAGGGAAGACCTAGAGAGACCCTGTGTGGAACCATCATCAGGGAAAGTTCAACCATGGACCTCACAAACATCCAAAACCTAAAACAGGTGGCAACGAACCACCAGACATGGAGAGTTATGACCTCTGCCCTATGTGCCACCCTATGCCCAACAGGAAAGACTGAGTCATTACCCATATGCAAGTTGAATACAGCAAAGACTATTCAGCTGTAAACACAACTCATATCCCTGTCTAGTCTGGTGACAATGACAGTGCTACCTGGAGCTGCTAGAAATGAACATTTTAATAAGGGTCCATGATGTTTAATTAATCAACATAGAACGGGCATGGTCAATTAATATACAGTTATATTTATGGATCCATCCTTACTGCTATCATGGCTTTACTAATCAATCTCATTTAATGTCAAAACATTATATGTTGTTTCTCAAAGAAACTAAAGCATATTTGTATAAGGCACCCTTCTATATCTGCTAATTAAGACTAAGCACCTAAAACTCTGTATGGAGTGAAATGGTCCTGGTTCTGTTTATAAAAGAAACCAAACAGAAAAAAAAAAGTCCTTTTTGAAAAAACAAAAATTGAGACCAGATATGTCTGGTCCAAATACAGATGGACTGAAGCTGGCATCAGCCAAAAAGAAAAAAGAAAAAAAAATCGTGCAATGAACAAGTTTCAGAAGACAACAAAGAAAACTACCTTGTGAGTCTCTGCATATCGCATGGCCGCTTCTGCTCCAGAACTGTGCCCAACAATGATTGTATGTTCATCACAGCCCAACTCTGTGTGAATTAAATAAATAATACAATATCAACTGAATGAAAATAATCACAAAAGAAAACAGGGAAAGTAATATGAAAAGAAATTTGGACCCAAAATAAATCTATGCATATATGCTATAGACAACAAACAATTATAATATAGAAATAAAAACTTGTCACAATAATGAAAAATAAAGGAGAACTACAGCCTAAAAAGGTGCAACAATATTAAAAAGGAACACTAAACAGTTTTGTAATATATTCTCTGTGTGTGAAATTGCTCATATTGGTTGTTTTGTTTTTTTCATTGAATTCTTGTACATAATGAAACCATGATTACACCAACAAAAACTAGCTGGATTACAGATAAAGTAACTTCCATAGTGACATTTCAAGTCTTTGCCTTGCACTGTGAAGAACGTGGGTTCATTTCACAGACTGCGCCATTCAGTTTGCGATGCAATTTTCATGGAGAGCCCTGGTGACTGTTGCTGGAGCTATGTAAAACAGACTGCCCCCCACCCCAACATACACATCATAAAAGTGGGTGCTTATCTGTCTGAAAGATGAGAAACCAACAGTCTGCTTACAAATCTGTAAAACAGATGTGCACACAACACTCAAGTTCTGGAACAAGCTCAAGCCCAGAAGTGGACAAACAAGCAGAACTTTCCATCGCAGTTTACAGCTGGTGAATGTGAAGGAAAATACTTTTACTTTAGTTAGACTGAAGGACAAGGCAGTCAGAGGGCTAACAGTCACACATGTTCAACTTGATGATGACATCTTTCCAGCCAACCTGTGGGTTACTAAATGTCTGGTGGGCATTTGCAATGATAACTTCATATCAAGAGATTTTGAAACAATAATTTAAATAACCAAACAAAATAATCAAGAAATAATTTACAAGTATGCCCACATTTGGGAAATCAATAACACAACTAAAATAAAAGTTAAAAACAAACAATACAAAAAGGGAACAATAAATAAAACTGACAAAAGTTTCATCAACAATTATAAAAACAAACAAACGGTGTGTATATGTTTGTGCGTGTGTGATTTTTTTTTCAAAATATATATGGTGTTAATATTGTTGCATCTAGAGACAGTACCTTTTTCCATGAATGGCAACCAGATAGACTCTTTAGCAGTGATTGGATCTGGCATATTCTGAAGCTGGCAGCGAATTCCAGCATCTTTTAATTTCCGCGCTAACCATCCATACCAGTTGGCACATGTGACTTCACCTGCCCCATTACCTGGCACAATGACAATCTGGAGGTTTTTGTCTCCTTCTGTTGCCATTTAATCTGAGGAGATAGTACAAGAGTGAGAATTTAGACGACCAACATTTAAGTTGCTTTGTCTGCCTCACATCACTGGTGTACTTTATATGAACACAAAGTGTGTTTCCATGTATATATCCTCCTCATACATTAAAAGTCAGTGTGTGTGTGTGTCTACACTCAAGAAAACAATGTCACATATCAGTTAACCCAATTTTGAAACACCTGGCTATCCCAACAGAGACAAAAGACGAAAAAAATGTTATGCTATTAATGTCAGACTTGGATACTGACTAAAGAGCACATAAGAAAACTTATCACCTGTCCAACTGAGATGTTTCAGAACGGCTGTGTACAAAATTAAAAGAGATCAGACACCAGACAATCAGAAGATTTTCTGATTTCAAATGTTCAGCCTAATGATGTCATATTACTGTTCCTCTATGGGATTTAGGGCTCCATTGGTGGGGAAGGGGGACAGACACATTGCCCCCCTAACAAGCATGTCATAGCAGATGACTTGTTTGCTGAAATTGGATGTATTGGGCCAAAAGACACAAATATGGCAGCCTAGCTGTAAACCACAACACAATCTGTTAACCTCCCTTTTGAGGACAAGCATATGCAGAATAAACAGAAGATGATTAAACAAGTTATGAGTAGTCAGATGTTCTCTGGTAGTTATCAGGGAGGTGCGAAAACCTTATAATGGCTCGATCAGACTTCATTTACATTATTATTTCAAATGCAAATGTTGCAGCTGAAAAACTGCAAGTGACTGAGCTCTATTATTATACATGAAACTAAACACTACTCATCAAACCATTGTGATGATAAATTAATAATACTATTAATACGAATGCTACAGTAACTTACTATATAAAGTGTATATAATATACCACTGCATGTTAATGCAATGTAAAAAGAAGTTTTATACTATACACTTTGTATAGTATATATACTACATTTCACAATTTAAATACATTTTTAATAAACATATCAAATATTTATTTTTTATGTAGTGAACTGTGCAGACTTTAACTTTATGTATATAATAGTAAGCAAACTAGTAACTTAACAAACTTGCAAAGTGACAGTTCGTAAACATATTCAGTCATTAAATGACACTACTCATACATACATTATCTAACATTAAGAGATTTATCAATGAGACTGCTGTTGATTAACAAACGGAACCTAACAATGAGACACATACTTCTACTCAGTCACCTGGAATTCCTGTTCCACGAATTTTCTCCAGCAACGTCAAGTCACTCAACTGAGATAACTCATATCCTTACCTTTACCTTTACAGTAACACTTTACGGACGGGTTACCCCCGGTATACATAAACATGACTTCTAAGAAACGTGTCAGTCATCATTATCAATTTAAAACAGTGAAAAAAATGTAAACAGGATACTCTACAAAGTCTTATTTTTTAGAAATAATACTTCCACCTCTATAATTTTAAAATTAGCTTTCAATGAACATGGACCCTCCTGAAAATAAAATTGGAAAGAAGATAATCAACTTAATTTTGTTTCTCTCTTTTTGCCAATGACAGGAAGCCCGGGGTGAATCTGTCAGACACGCCCACAATGTCAGCTATACTGTCTGCATTAACACGCTGCAGTATTTACTTTCAATTATTCTTGATTGTTTTCACAAATAATCAAGTGTCCACAAGATCAAATTATAGTGTGTATTTCAATTAATCAATTGTGTAATTAAACAGTATGCCTTATATTTTACTAGCCATTCATAAAATATGGCGGGTTGTTTTGTCTGAAATATATACTAATAATAGAACAGAAGAATACAAGGATAGCAGAAGAAAAAAGAAAAGAAGTAGAATATGGAATACGAGAGAAAAATGATTAATAAACTGTAGAGAGTTGTGGTGGCGCAAAACGCTAGCGCGTTTGCATACTAGTTTGGTCCCAATAAATATTTGACAAAAGCAGAAGAAAAAAAATACACATTGAAGTGGGGATTATTTTAAACTACAGACTTCTAACCTTTCATGAAATCCTAAGCCTAAGGGAAGTAAAAGCAGTCGGCATGATATTAGCCACCCTATTTATTGATTTGAGTCAAGATCTGACATCACAGCACTCAGGGCATTCCCATGCTTGCTCCGTCCTCATCATTAGCAGCGAGCGCAGAGTTCCACTACTGATGGTACCAGTCACAATCTGGTCATATGCACGTCTTGCCTTTCCTCTGAGTGTAGTGAGCCGGCCAGACCCTCTGGTTACACCCAGGTGCCTCATTCTCTTCAGACCATAACAATCTTGTTTCTCTACTAATTCCGTTGCTTGTTCCCAACGGACCTTGACCACATCATGTATCAATTCACCACCCAATCTAGCCAATCTATCTCCCTGTTCATTGCCCACTACGTCGGCATTGCCTGGAGAAAAGATCCAAAGTATGTCATTTATCGAGTGGTTGTAGTTGCTGTATAAAAAATATGAGACCAGAACCCAGTACTCATCGAAATGAGGATATTGTCTTTAATTAGATTGTATGTGAAAGAAAAACATAGATGCCATATCACAAATAGAAGACCACCGTGTGGGTTCCGGGGGCCCCATTGTGGGGGAAAACAAGAATAGACCCACTGCCTCCCCAAAAGTATGTCGTAAGAGTCGACTAATTGGGGAGCTTCCTTTGAAGTCAGAGTGCATCTGCTGGAAAGGCAAGGAACCAACAGTCTGTATTCAAGAGAATAAGATCTGTAAAACTGATGCACACACAACACATAGGTTCTGGAGCAGGACTGCAGTTCAAAAGTGGACGAGCAACCAGAACTTTCCGCCAGAGTGTACAGCTGGTGAACGTGAAGAAGAAGAAGAACAAATAGAAGACAACAGTGAAAACTAAGCTTTAGTCCTGAAGAAGATGTTCGCCGACGACCAGGTACTCAGCAGAAAGTACGGAATGCCTACAGAACCACCTAAATCACATTAATAACAAAGGGGAGGAATATAATATGAGAATATGAACTACTAAGACAGAGATAATGGTGATAGGAAGACAGGAAAACAATTTAGAAAATAAAATTAAAACAACACCTCAAGACAAAAAGAGGAGTTTAAGTATTTTGGAACCTTTTTTACATCCGATGGAAAACTAGACAGAGAAACTAGCTTGAGATGTACCAAAGCTAATCAAGTACTGTTGCAACTATCTCCCCTGTTGAGAAACACGCAGGAACCTCGGAGTATTAAACTAAATCTTAACAGAACTATTTTTTCGCCAACACTATGCTTTCAGTGCCAAACATTGACCTTATATCCTCTAATAAACGTCAGAGATGAAATACTTTAAAAGAGCTGTAGGAGTTTCAACGAAGACACCCTTTGCACACCAGTCAGTCACTTTGTTTACAGTTGCCCGCAGCTCTTGGGCTGTCTATTGCCTATCTGCAAGAACATCATCAGCAAATGTCAATATCCTTCCAACACCTGGTGCTTCAAGTTCTGCGATCTTGCTTTTATACACATTAAAGAGCACTGGTGAAATTGCAGAACTCTAGGATAGTCCCGGGGCTATATTACATGGTTCTGAGGTCTATATACCTAGGCGAAGGACAACCATACGTTAATGCAGGGCAGCTACTATCCAGTTGACAAGCCAGGGACAAACTCTCTTCTCCACGAGTACAGATATTAAAATATCATATCTGACTCTATTATATCCATCTTCAAGATCAAGTGCTGCTACAACTGTCTCCTGTCTGTTCTGGAACCATTAATAAACATCAAAAGCAAAAGAAGAGGATAGAATTATAAAGATTTGCTGTCAATATTTAACTCTTTGATTTTTATGGGGTTTAGCATCACAGGCCCAAGGGGTAGTCAAGAGAGACGTAAAATCGGTGCATCATGCGTTCATTAGGCCTCTAGGTATGAATCTATGAACGTATGATGCGTTCCTTGGGACTCAAAGAGTTAATTCAAAACATTCGAAACATGGGTCAATGGTCGTCTGTGGTTATTTAAAAGAAAAGTGTTTAGACAATATAGGTATTCAATTTATTGGGGAAAGAAGAGAATAGACTCGCTCCACCCCGCCCCCTCCAAACAAACACACACACACACACAAAAACGAAACCAGCATGTTGTAATAGGCGACTAAATAGGGGTTTGCTTAAATGGGATATTTGTGCCGTAGGCGCATGAATCGCAACAGAGCTGTAAACCGCAACACGTCGAATGCAGAATAAGGATTATGACTAGCTGCATACCCCACCCCCCTCCCCCACCCCAGTCTCCATAATGAGAGATATATATTTGGCTTTTCGTGTTTCCGTTTGTTAAGTGTCGAAGTACATTATTTATATAACCTTTCAAGGAGGGTCCAGTCTGATCTGCTTATATCAATCAATGTCATTTTGGCATAGCTGCGTCTCATTCTAACATTAAAAGTCACAGTCAACGCCACATTTCTCTTGTAAAGGTTCTGGAAGACTTTGAACACTGACAGTGAAACCTGGGCGGACTTTTAATCAGGCTGCAACAGGTACAGTTAGCATAGGGACTCTTTGTTGACTACTGAGGAGGGAGACGGAGTACGCGTGGGAACGCCCAGAGTGCAGTGATGTCAATGTTCGATTCATTCATTCATTCTCCTGTAGAGAGATAGCTTGCCGAACTACGTCCGCCACAAACTGCTAGGGACTGGCTGCGCGCGCACCTCCTTCCCGCTGCATGCTGGACTAGTCTTGTTCGGTTGGCAAAGCCGCCATGATGGATCAGAAAAATTGTTCAGAATGTGAAACATTTGAAGACGTTGGGTAGCCTCATTTGTGGTTTTATTGATTCAGAAAGTGTATAAAATGTCGAAGTGATGTTTTAATTTGAAGTTTTGTGCTATTTTGCCCTTTTTAGGGAGGTAGGGACTTGCTTAAGCGAGATTTCACTTCGACAATCTCATTAGCATACCTGAAGCCAAAAGACCATGAGTAAGGTATCATTTAGGGCTCGGGCGCTGGACGCCACGAAGCCCATGCCAGTCTACAAGGCTTTTGAGATTCCAGACATCAAGGATTTTGCACAGATAAACCGATCTGTTCCGCAAATGCCGACAGGAATGGAGAAAGAGGAAGAAACGGTGAGGCTTTTTATATGGGCGGTTTGTAGCATGAATGTGGCCGCCATATTGAAATTTTACTAAGCCTTAGCGATCATGTTCAAACAAGCGCATTTAGCCTAATTCTACTACATCATTCAACTCCGTATACTGTACGAGATCTGTTCCATGTCTCAACCTTTAATATTTTACATATTTAACGACTTTCTCTTGAATATTCTATTTATATAGTTTTTCTTTACAGGGGATTCCCCCTTGTGACGTCACAATAACCACGGTGACCTACTTATGAACGGGTTATCAAGTTTACTTTGTTCCCAGTGACCAGTCGCAGACATGGTCTTCATCACTTTTAACAAAAGATGGACCCCCTTCTGTCATTCATTCCTTGTTTCTTGCAATACTTAGCTCTTTCAGCCGTTGCTAGTCATGATATCTGGTTAGCTCTATGTCTATGAATACATAATGGGGAAACCTCTATAACCAGTGTGTGTCACCCTATTGTTTATTTATGTTATATTAGTCTTATGTTTATGTCAGGCACTACCTACATTACTTGTCTCTTGTTCCATGTCTTTAAACATTGTAATTAATGATTATGTGTACAGATTGAACTGTATGTACATGTATGTAATTATAAGATGTGATTAAATGTTATATTTGAATTTGAGATTAGTTATAATGAATGTTGTTTGTCAGAGCTAAGAGTTACTCAAGATTGAGACCGTCACAAATCAGCAAAACTCATGAACAGATTAATATGCTTTCAAGTAAGCAAACCACACTCCAAAAGACATCACAAGTCGAATACGCTATTATAATTATTGTCTTTTTCTTCTACACCTCACTCCCCAAAGCTTAATAATGGATGTAGGCCAGATGTCGTGGTATTTAGATAGCTAATAGACTAATAGAGTGGACACTGAGATAATACGAAAGAGACCACACTCCAGTTTAGAGATCCTTATCTTTTTTTACACACTCCCTACTCTGGCAGCTATGGACCAGAAGAATTAATAGTCAGATAAGAGTAGAGGCCACACTTCAGAAGATAGGCATGCCTCAAATAATTGATAACTTTCACAATGCATTTTTTGTTACATCCACACATATGCCCAAGCAGGTGTAGTCCAGAAGTAATCAGTAGTTGGTTAAATAATAGAAGAGAGCTGGGCATTTGCGCAAATCATTTGACTCGTGCATTTACACCCATGCTAAAATTCCAGTAACAGCAAATGAAAATGGGTTAGGCCAGAAGTGGGAAGCCAAAGGAGCATTGCAAACCAGCACATAACTGGTGTCATCAGCTACTGCACTCTGGGGTGTTATACTAAGGATGGAATCCAACCATTCATGTACTGAAGGGTTTGAAGAAGGGTCTGTTGACTAATGGAGCTGGTAGCAAGGTAATAAGGGTTCACATTGCAAGGTAGTCGGCCTATATTGAAAACTTCAGCATTGCCTTTTTTTTTTTAAATTTATTTACACATAAACACACCTTGGCTTAATGGCAAGTGCAGACTTCCTTAAAGGGTTGTTGGCACCTTATATTGTGGATTACAGCTAGGCTGCAGTATCTGCGCCTTTTGGCCTAACATTAAATTTCTAATAATTTCCTTTACGTCTAGGAGGCAGTTGGTCTGTTACCCCAAAATGGGCTGTTGGAACCCACACAGGAGAGCAGTGGACCAAAAGTGATTGTGTGCATATAGTTTGAAAGATTATTCTCAGTGCACATCGAGCCGTTCAGTTCATAGGTGCTCGGATCCACACATACACACCCCAAGTAAATCCTGCAGCATGTACAGGCTGATGAAATTAGTTTTTTATTCTTCTTTGGCTACATCGTTTTTAATTTGCTGTTCTTGCAGTCTGCTCAGGGTTGCAGATTCAGTCATCACTTGGTTCTCGCAAACATCTTACTTCTCATAGAGCATTCAGTATACTGTCTCTCATCCGCCCTCCACGGTAGACATACCTGTATTCCCTGTCCCAAAAATGGAACGGATCTTTGTCAGCCCTGACTGTCTCATAGACACAAGCCATCATCTTCGTATCTAGGCCATCTCTATACCTGAGCATACTCATTGAGTCACTGGGAAAGCATTTGTAGGTCCGCATCTCTATCCATGTTATTGCTTTTGTCACTGCCATGACCTCCATAGTCAGACTACTTGTAATCAAGGCAAAAGCAGCAGAATCTTGACAATCAAGGCTTCAATTTCTTGCCTTCTCACTAGCCAGACTTTGATTTCTACATTTTTTTTGGTCTTAGGCATAAATGGATAAATAAAAGAATAGAGTAGGTTGTATGACAAGAATTATAGATGTTTCAGCTTTTTGAACAAATTATGTATGGATGAAGCAGTAGCTTTTTGGTATGTGCACTTGTATGCAACAATATCTAAGTCAGACATCAATCTTCAGCAGTTAAAGACATTTTTTTTTTCCATGGCTCTTTAGGTCATTCTTAAAATGAGTTTCAGACACTTTTAGAGTTGTCTGCGAAGTCTCATGGGAAAGAACTGATCACTCCACATTATGCAGTAGCCTAAAATTTGTGGTAACTGAATACTTCACAATTCATGACACTGATCACTCCGTATACCGTAGCCTAGAATTTGTGATAGCTGAAGATGTCTCATGAGGCGGTAAACTTCATACTTGTGACTGGTTTACACTGATAGCTTTGACAATATGTTTTGCAATATTAAACATTAAAAGCTGTGAGCTGTACTAAAAACAAATTTTTTTTACTGCATTAAATGTTGAAAAAGCATACCTTGTGAATCTGTGACCAACAATTGCACTCTTTTTAAATGTATCTTCATTAGCCAGCATCTTATTGCGTGGTTATTGGTCGCTTTCTTAACTCTTTCTGTTGTCCTAAGATGATACACCAATACACAGACTACATGCATACACACATTTTATTGTCAGTATACTTCTCTGTCTCAATGTGAGTTTTGTTTTGTGTGTGTGTGCTTTTTTTTTCTCTGTCTCTCACAGGAGCTGCTGTGGTGTGGCAGTTAGATACTCACCTGCGGATCCAACGGTCATGGGTTCAGGACCTTATAGAACTGGACTTTTATTAGAAATGACTTTGGCTCCAAGGTCGACCCAGCCTTTAAAAGTCCTGGGAAGTAAAGGCGGTTGGCGTGATATTGACCACATCAAAAATGGCGTGATTTTTGTCACAGGCGAGAGTTTAAGTTAAGGCCGTTATGATGTGTATAAGGAGATACTCCGTACCTCAACTCTGTCGCCAGCCTTCTCTTAGCTGGTTTTACGGGAACCTTGTGCAAGACTGCTGCTGTACGTCCCTATCGTGTGCCACGGATAGTGGCGCAAATAAGTATTAACTGAGTTAACAGCCGATCTCAGTACTGGTGGCCACCAGAGATGTAGTTTCCAGTCTGCCTCTCATAAGCCCGACCACACCCAGTGCACGGGAGAAAATGTCTATCAAAACTCATTTAAAACAAGAGTAAGACCTGCTAGCTCGGTATATCACAAATTGACAACTTTTGGTTAAAGCGTCTCGAGGGAAAGAACAACTGAACTGTTGAGACCGAGTCCTAGACCAAAAGAGATTTGCTCATGTCTTAGACAAGCATCTCCTATGGACGGTTTGGTATGGTAAAATCCTGTCTCCATGCATCCATTGTCAATGCTCAGCGTTGTCACTGCATTGAGGTACACCACGACAGCCACTGTCAGTCTGCTCTTTAAGTTCAGATGTCCAGCAAATACATGTCCCATGGCACCCCAGTAAAGTCTCAAATGTCTGACTGTCAGAAGTCTTATTGACTGGCAAAAAGGTTCAGATGTCTGTTACCGCTGGCCCCACTCACCTGAGTGTCAGGACTAGACAGGTGAAGCCATGCCTGATGCCTGCTTTTCCATACCGTCATGCTAAACTAGTTGAAAAGTTAAAGGGGGTCTAATGTGATGAAAAATAGTGCCTTTTTGTGTGGTCATCGAAATTCTGGTCCTGCAGGCTGCTGCCTGTGACGAGTGGATAGCTCACCATACAGTTGTGAGGTTAAGCAGTCATATGCAGAACATGTCAGCTCTGCATTTATGGAAGCCTGCTTGGATATCGGGAAAATACCCATGATCTGCCCCCATCTTCCCTCGAGGGCCGAACAGTCTACATACGGTTGCTCTAGATGGATTCTCCGGGGGCAACACCTGAAGATAAAGGTACTAAGAGGACACCACACAAATGAGGCAGCAGCATGTCCTACGAAACAATGGCTGCAGTCATCTTAGTGATAGGATTGACGTCTTCCTTCGAAATCAGAGTATATCTGCCAGAGAAGCGGAAAACAAGAACTACACACACATAAGCCAGTAAAGTAAACACGCAAAACACAGGTCCTGGTACAAGACCAAATAGATAAACAGTCAGGACTTTCCGTCGGAATTCACATCCAGTAAACAAGAAGACTACATCATCCACAGAGTGCCGATTGGTCTATAAAATATAGATCTAGCCCAATATGCCCAGTATTGCAGAGGGCGTGGACAATGGTCCTTTACTTTTCTTTCCACCCCCCTCATCTCTTTTCTGCCTGAATCCATTTAACTCTTTTGGTACCAGAGGACAGACAGTTCAGTTTGTTATATATCAACTTGTGGTGTTTTCCTTGGTACCCATCGAGTCAATATGGCCAAGCTGTCTTAATATGTTTCATAGTGTTGATAATTTATAGTTGTTTACACATCTTTGACAAGTCCGAATCTATATGATCCTGCTTTCAAAATGCAGTTGGGCTGTGCTTCGTCTGCATGCTGTGCTATTGGTTATTATCAGTAATGTACACTTTAACCATTACTAAATGAGATCTGATCTTTGACTTAAAAAAAATATCTAGCATGGCATTTAGAGGCTTAATTTTTTATTTGAGACTGCAGTTCCTCTTTAGAGGCACTTCTTTTATTGAAAACAGTACCAAGGTACTCGAAGCCGTCTACTTAAGCACTGGGAAAAAAGCAGGCAATGCGTGAATAATAATAAATCATACTTGTAGATTATCGGCTGCTAGAAACAGATTGCTGAAACCATGCAAAATCTGCGGCAGCTGTAATAAACATTATAGGGGTTACTGCCACTACTGGACCTTTACACTCTAGAGCAGTCTTTTCCATTTGATGGTCCACAAAACAAATTTAAGGGGGTCCATGATATCATTTTTATATACATACAACCCCTCTCAGGTTCTGGAACTATCTCAAACTCTAGGGGTGACTATAAGATATTCTTCTTTGTGTTCACTTGCTAACTCTGGCGGAAAGTTCTGGTTGTTGTTCACTTCTGAACTTCAGTTTTGTTCCAGAGCTTGAATTGTGCTTGCAGATCTGCTTATTTTTATGCAGACTGTTTCCCTCTTGCATCTCAGTCAGATGCGTTGCTATTTGGGGAACATATTTCTGATTAGTCGCCTCTTACGACATGCTTGATAGAAAGGCTGTGGATATCATCCCTCTTCCCCCCCCCCCCCCCCTCCTTGTCCAATGATGCCCAGGAACCCACGCGGGTATTGAAATTTCAGACTTAAAAAGTATTGGGTCAGCGGAAGACGGTAACAATTTAGAGAAGGCTGCAGATCTTAGCTAATTGAGAACCGCTGCTCTGAGCCATGGGGTGGCCTGATTTCTTTCCTCCACACATAATTGCCAGGAAATTGTCTGCTGCCCATTTTTGTAAATCTGTGTTGACCCCCAGAGCCGTACTAGTCCAGAACAGAATGTGGGTTGAACCTGGACCATAGTTTTTGGTAGGTTCATGCACTTACTGCTCTGTCACCATTGCTGCTTAGTAGTAGCCCAGATGAATTTTTCTTATCACAAAAAAAACATACATACTGGTAACATCAAAGAAAGAATAATAATAATAATAACCAAATTGAAATAGTACATACACTGGAAGGGATAATGCTCAACCAAATCAATACATTCAAATGCAAAAGCTACCATTCAGAAAAATGGGTATTTTATGTAGCAGGTCATTATCATATTGAATGTCACTCCAGGTGAGATGTTGGACTGGTCATCATCATCATCTTTTGTCATTTCACTGACACCAGGTTATAGCCCAGTGTTGGGGTTTTCTATATTTGTCTTGCTCTTCTCTTGCAGCTTGGGCGATGCATTTATTTATATAATTTTGCAGATTTCAGTTCCATCATTTATCCTTCTCTTTCCTGATCTTCCCTTCACCTTCCTTCCAGATGTTCTGTAAAAGATCTCATATGCAGTTTGATCTGGCTGCATTCTCACAGGTCATACTTTCTTACCTCTGCAAGAGCATCATTTTGCCAGTGCTTCTTTATGGAGCAGAATGCTGGAGAATGACCAAAAAGGATGTACACAAGCTGTCCATCTTCCACCACACATGTCTACGTAGAATTATCAAAATTTTCTGGCCAGATACAATCTCAGACACTAAACTACTTCAAGTCACAAACCAAGAAACTCTAGACAGTATGATAACCAAGAGAAGATGGAAATGGCTTGGCCACGTTATGAGAATGAATCCTGATACACCTGCCAAAACAGCTCTCACATGGACACCAGAGGGAAAGAGAAAAAAGGGGCCCCCAAAAACAACATGGAGACGGACGATGGAAAGTGACCTGAGTGTGGCATCTTTGACATGGAAAACTGCATTGAAGATGGGACAGGAAAGCATGGAAAGTCCTCTCTGAAGCCTCATGTGCCACTAGGCATAATGAGAACTGATGATGCCTCTCAGGCAGATGCGCTCTGACTTAGAAGAAAACTCTCCTAATTAATCTCCTTGTACAATATGCTTGTTAGGGAGGCATCTCCTTTCACCCTCATTTGACTAATATATATTGAATATAATTGGGTTCTGGGGCCCCATTGTGGGAAAAACAAGAATAGACCCACTGTCTCTCCAACAAGCATGTCGTAGGAGTTGATTTATTGGGGACATCCTTTAAAGTCAGAGTGCATCTGCCTGAGAGGCAAGGAACCACAGGTCTGCATACAGATAAGGCAGATCTGTGAAACGGATGTGGATGAACACTCAGAACTTTACAGCCGTTGAATGTGAAGAAGTATAGAATAGTTAATTCTATGAAATGATCTTTTTTCACAGACTATTCTCCATTTAACTGTCCAGAAGAGGCAAATATTTATTGCCTAGTTTTTGCTCTTATAAACAGGAACATCACCTCCAGCGAGCCTTGTCGGCACAGCAGGTCTATGGATCTTCAGAGGCGCTGGTTATCCCTATCCCAGAAGTGCAGGACATTTCGGATCGGTATTTCTGCCTGTATCCAGACACCTACAAGCCATCCAAACAGTACATTCATATACAAGGTATGTTGTCCACAGTTTGTGTAACCATGCTCTTACAGGAGCCTTAAAGGAAAAAAGTTAAAATCATGTGACATTTTCTTCATAGCACAACTATCCATAGAGCGGTTGAGTATTTGGAAAAAATAGAGGGGAAAAAACCACTGCATATTTAATGTTCAGTTGTCTTTAATGTAATGAATGCAACTGTTTGGAAGGATTTTAAAAAAATATTGCAGCGGTACCCTGGCATACCCTCGCGGCACCCTAGAGTGACACGGCACCCAGTTTGAGAACCGCTGCTGTAAAGAATCTGCTGATTGATGTTGATGGAAACAGTATATCCTTTCGCAGATTTTATATTTTTTAGTGCATCCTTTTTTGCAAAATATTTTCTATGATATATCATCCCTGACGGTACATTCATATACAAGGTGTGGTCATCATTTGTTGTATGCAATCCAGATAGAACATTTGTATGATTCTTTCTTCTTCTTTTCGTTCGCCTGAAATAAGTTGTCTGAATCAGCAATTTTGTCTCTCGTTCAAATTTCATTGTTGTTTTTAGTTCCATCAATAGTTCATAGAGTTTGCGTCCACTGTTGTTCTTTCTGGCCAAAAGGTTTGCCTTAATTTGTCAAATTTGATGAAGTCATAGAGTACATTTTCTGCTATCTGGGGCACCTTTCCACAGGTGCACATGGCTGATTCGCCTATCTTGAATATTGTGTACATGTTATGTAATCGGTTATGCCATGTTCTGAGGCAAAGGACAATGACTTGTTCTGATCAGTTCACAATAAAATAATCTTCTTGTGCTGGGACTGGTGGTTTCCTGATAGATTTAATGATCCTTTTCTTTTGGTAATATGTAACTGGTACATTAGGTGGCTCTTTTGTCGTGTCTTCCCCTGTCAATTGATCAGCTTTCTCATTTCTAGGCACTCCACAATGTGATGGTATCCATTGCATTGCGACTCTTTGCTGACAGCTGAGTTGCGTCAGTAGTGTTTGCAATTCTAGTAGTTTCCTAGACTGGAGTGCTTCAAGTACAGATTTTGCATCAGTCAGCATTACCACAGACTGTGAGCCGAGACTGGTATTTAGCGGTATCTCTGTTGCAATTTTGATAGTGTGGGTTGGCACACTGTACCATTCTGTGTACAACATTCTTGTGCAAAGTATGTTGTTATTATGTTATATGCCAACCATTCATAAAGTATGTTGTGTATACACCAGATTATCTTCTGCTTCAGCATTCCGAGCCCTTAAGGTTCATTGCTGCAGATATCACCCGCCTCCATTCATCTCTCTAGTTGGCCTTTTCTTTCCAGTTGGTGACACCAAGTGTTTGCAGGTCTGCCTGGACATTATCTTTCCATCGTCTTCTTGGTCTGTGTCGTGGTCTACAACCATTCTTTCATTCTATATGACATTCTTTCAATATACCCCAACCATTTCAGTCTATTAGCTCTCATGATGCCAGTGATCAAAGGTGATTTAAACAGACTATGAATTTCATTGTTGCTTCTCACTCTCCATTCCCCGCTATTTGCATCTTTGATGGGTCTAAAAATTTGTCGTAAGACCCTTGTTTTCGAAAACCTGTTAATAAGGTTTCATCTCTTTTAGTTGTGCTTTAAAGTTTTAGAGCCATATAAAACAATCGTTCTTATCAAATGTTTGATATATTTTTATCTTGGTGTTGCGAGACATTTGACTTTAGCAGATGTAAAAGGGCATAGTATACTTTATTTCCAGATTGTATTCTAGATTGTATTTCTTCTCTTAGCATGTTGGAGCAGTTGCAGTTTGCACCTGAGTACTTATGTTTCCATTTGTTTGATTTTTATATTATTGACTTGTGTGTGGCCAGAGTTTATATCCTTTCCCTGTCTAGTTATTATCATGTATTCTGTTTTATCTTGATTGGTAACTAGTCTCACTTTCTGAGCTGATTCTTTTTATGGTGTATTATATTGGTTGACAATGTTGTGTTATGGTTTACAGCTAGGCTGTGATCACTTACTAAACCTTTCTCCCTAGTACATCTGATTTATCAAAACCCTAATTAATTGCCTTTTATAACATGCTAGCTAGTGGTGGGGTGTAAGTGGGTCTTCACCACACTCTCCCACCCCCTTCCCATCGGGGCTCCTTAGAAAAACAAAGAAGTTGCATGTCGCACCAAATAATCCTGCAGAACCAGTTTATCACCCAAAAACATGAAGATCAGTAAAAACGAATGCAGCATAGAATCAGCTGGCATACATTTCTCTAGTGGGCCCGTAAATTAATTTTGACATACTACTTGTCCTGTGACCCCATAATCTGGAACCACTAGCCAGTAAGGATAATATGACATAGGAATTTCTTCAAATTAAGCCCTTTTTATTTGAACAAGGAAATTCTGTTTTTAGTAAATTTAGTCATCCACTATCATGTTGATGTTTTCACAGATGCAGTTAATTCTGTTAGCTAGTCGTCTTGTAAACATATCACGTTCAGCTTTCCTAGTGCCGCAACCCTTTAGTACAGTTCCTCATGTAGTGGTGACCCCAACCACAAAATTATTTTCGTTGCTACTTCATAACTTCAGTTTGCCTTTGGTCGTAGGCGACCCCTGTGAAAGGGTTGGGTTGTACGACCCCCAAAGGGATCACGACTCACAGTTTGAGAACCTCTGCCTTAGTGGGTCAGAAAAGCATTTATATGAGGAAATGGTACCATCTGGACAAGTCCGTTTTGGGCTTCTGATGGCGAAAGGATCGAGTTAGAAGGAAAACTTAGCAGAACCACAAGGTAATGACAGTGAATGAAGTTATGCTAATGTGTTGTATGTAACGACTGTGTGCAGCTTTCAGTATGGATCAAGAGATCCCAGACTATGACATGGACAGTGACGATGACACCTGGTTGAACGAACACAGCAAGAAGATGGAAATCACACCCAGCAAGTTTGAGGAGATGATGGACCGTCTAGAAAAAGGCAGTGGCCAGCAGGTTTGTCTACTTTTGGTTTCTTAGTGATTGTTATTTTGTGGTTTATTGTTTAATTGTTGTAGTATTTTTTTCTTCATTATGAGCTTCTTTCTCCGCTGGGTGTCACATTATTTTCATGTTTTACAAAATGATTTATTACTGACAATTTTTTTTCTCAGTTTTAATTTTCACTGTCCTCTTGGACTAAAAAAGAGTTAGATATTTATCATTTTGCACCTGTAGTTTCATTTAGTGCTGGCTTTCTTATTTATTCCAAATGCTGTTATACAGCAGAAGAGTCCGCACAACAAAGCATCTCTTGCCAAGTATATTAATGCCCATCCTATGCACCAGAATATAAAATTGGTAACCATGAACATGTGATGTCTGAGAAAAGTTGCAGAAGCAGTTTTAAAAAAATAATAAAATCAAGAGTAAAGTCACAAGAGAAAAATCAGAACAAAAGAAATTCTAAACTACAAGCAAAGACAGCAAATATAAGGATTTTCCCGCACAACATTACGATGTGTCTGTGGCCAAGGTGATCATAAGAGCAAGAAGCAGAACTGTTATATCTCCTTCAATACCCAGAGCCGTAAAATAGGAAATGAAGAAAAATATTTTCATACTTTTTCTTTTTTTTTTAATGTTCATTGCAGATGTTTTCATAATTCAGAAGAAAGGAATTATGTATCGTTCGTTATGCTATCATTACTTTTTTATAATATTGCAAAATTGTTTCACTCTGTTCACATTAGGTTGTGACTCTTCATGAAGCCAAACTGTTATTGAAAGAGGATGATGATCTGATTATAGCGGTGTATGATTACTGGTTGAACAAACGGCTGAAGATGGTGAGTAGTGTTGTTTGTTTCTCTTCTGTGCACACCATTAAAAGGTGTTGTAGTTTACAGCTAGGCTGGGATGTGTCACCTACCAGCCCAGCCCCTCTGATTTTAGTTGCCTTTTATGAAGTGCTGTTTAAAGGGGGCATTTTCCTTCTTCTCCCAAACTTGGGCTCCAGAACCCACACCTTGATTCTCTTTTTTCAGTATATCCACGGCTGTGCCATGCTTTGATACAGAGAGGCGGCCGCATCAGGTGGTACAGAATAACAATCACAATTGAAGGTTATTTTAACTAAAAACATTTTAAAGGGTGGCATTTCGGAGACTTTCGTCATACTGAGAAAATATGCCGCACAGCCCTGTTAGTATCTGTCATTGACATGGCAAGCCAAGTTTAAGTTAAAAAATACTTAAGCTCTTTGAGTGGGTACCGGCTGCAGTCCCGGGAAGTAAAGGCGGTCGGCGTTATGCTGACCACATCACCCATCTTGTGCCGACTGGTCTATAAAAATATAGGTCTAGCCCTATATGCATTATAGGCCTAAAGGCTTGGAAAAGGAACCTTTACTGTACTTACTACTATACTGTTCCTGTGTGTTTGGAATTAGTGGTTGACATAGGTAACTAAGGTTTGGTTTTAATAATACTCTTGTTTCTTATCCGTGGTTGACATAGGTAACTAAGGTTTGGTTTGAAAATATACTCTTGTTTATTATCCTTGGTAAACATTGGTAACTAAGGTTTGGTTTTAATATAAATACTCTTGTTTATTATCCTTGGTTGATATTGGTGACTAAGGTTCGGTTTTAATATATACTCTTGTTTGCTATCCGTGGTTGATATTGGTGACTAAGGTTCGGTTTTAATATATACTCTTGTTTGTTATCCGTGGTTGATATTGGTGACTAAGGTTCGGTTTTAATATATACTCTTGTTTGTTATCCGTGGTTGATATTGGTGACTAAGGTTCGGTTTTAATATATACTCTTGTTTATTATCCTTGGTAAACATTGGTAACTAAGGTTTGGTTTTAATATATATATTCTTGTATATTGTCCGTGGTTGATATTGGTGACTAAGGTTCGGTTTTAATATAAACTCTTGTTTATTATCCTTGGTTGACTTTGCTAAGTTATGGTATTACAATATTGCTTTAGTTTATATCCATTTTTTTTCACGCCGGTATTAAATAGTTGGTTCTTTTGTGTTTACAGTGCCATGTTGGAATTTTACAGTTGTCTTGACATTTGGTACATTAAAATTACTGGCAGCTGGAAATTAGAAATATCTGCTGTGTTCACAGACTGTGTTGTTCGGTTAATAAGAGCAATTTTAGTGGAGATCATCACTGAATCTGTGGTGTTTGTGCTTTTGTGCAGTGCTCTTAGCAGGTGGCTGGTTCTGCATATAGAGACGGAGCCGTGTGCGATAGATTAAAATCTGGTGCAATGAAATATTCCTAGCGACTTGAAACCATGAATATTCTACAAATGGTATTTGTAGTTGAATCTGTAAATTAACTTTGACCTGTTACTATTTTTTAGTATCCATTGTCTGTGTTTTCAGCAAAGACCATTGATTGCAACAGTGAAGAGTGAGAAGAGAGATGGGACCACTTCTAACAACCCATATGTTGCATTCCGACGGAGGACCGAAAAAATGCAAACCAGAAAGGTAAAGTTTTGCTTGTGTGTGTTTGTAAACTCTTTCAGTAACATGGGCTTTGGCAACAGAGACCCAGGGGATAGTAAAGAGAGGCGTAAAATCGGCGCATCATGCGTTTATTGGACTTCAAGGTAGGAAACTATGAAAATATGGTAGGTTCCTTAATACTGAAAGAGTTAAGGGCAACAGTCATCACAGGCTTGTATTATATCTGTGATTTTCCAACATGTGAGTTTTAGGGAGTCTCTGAAGTTTAACTCTTATAGTCCCATGTCGGTTTTGCTTTAATGCTGTCTATTGTAAAGTGTGTTCATTAGAAGAACAGTTTTAGAGTTTAATGGAAGCCATGAAATTGCAACAACATCTAACATCATGAATGAAGAATGTAAAACAAATAATATGAGAATCAACACTGAAAAGACAGAAGTAATGTCAATAGGAAGAAAGAAGACAGATCTAAACATAGCAATAGAGAACAAAGGCATTAAACAGGCATCTGAGTTTAAATATCTGGGAACTACATTTACCAAAGATGGGAAATTGGATAAAGAAATTAACATTAGATGCAGTAAAGCAAACCAAGTATTGGGACAGCATAAGACAATCCCAATCAGCACAAAGAGACATCTTATTCAAAGCATATTTATTCCAACTCTGTGCTACCAGTGCCAGACATGGTCACTCACAACAAACCATAAAAGAAAATTAGTGACCATGGAAATGAGATGTCTGAGAAGGGCTGTAGGAGTGACCATAAGAGATAAGATCAGGAATGAGATCATAAGAGAAAAAGTCGGCACAAAACCAATTCTAAATTACATACAAAGACAGCAAGTGAAATGGTTTGCCCATTTAGAGAGAATGCCTTGTGACACCATACCATACAAAGCATACATGGAAAGAGAAGAAGGTCATAGAGCAAGAGGTAGACCAAGAACAAGATGGAAGGATAACATCAGAGAAGCTCTACAACAGCACGATGTGCCTATGGTCGAGGCGGCCAGAAGAGCCAGAAACAGAACCTTATATCTCCCTCGACACCCACAGCGGTAAAAGAGGAAGTGAAGAAGAAGAAGATGGAAGTCAACTAAGAAGAGTTAAAATAACATTTGTAATATAATGGGTCATCGTTGCGGAAGAACTGAAGAAAATGGCTTGTTAAATGTATGCATCATGTTGAATAATCAGTAAACTCATGTTAAGTTCCTTGGCACCAAAAGATTAAGCTGTTCACCTCATGCTCTGATCGTGAACTGAATCATTTGATATCGTGGGGGGGGGGGGGGGGGGTTGGAGATTCCAGCGGCATACTGATTCTGTGCGATATGTGATGTCCTATTTGGATGGCAAGATGTTCTGATGAGAGACTGAGCCAAATACTATAAAACCTTGTGCAGTTGAGTCAATCCTCGTGGATTTAAACTTTAAGAGGCAGTGGCTTCCAGTTTACACTTACAAAACTAGCGCAGATGTGGAGACACTTTTTGTATTAATCAGTGACCTGTATATATTTGTATTGTAAGTAAGTAAAAAGTAAAGATCCCTTTCCACGCCTTTTAGGCGTATCGGGCATATGGGAAGAGCGCCCATATTTTTACAGACCATCAGCACTCGGTGGGTAATGTAGTCAGCATTACATATTTGTATTGTGTAGTTTGTAACTCATGATTCTGTAAAGTTGCTATGTCCTGATATCCATAAAAAGCAGAGTTTTACGTAAATGTTTTTGTGTGTGTATGTGTGTTTTGAACTACATCTTCTGACACCTTGTGTATGTGTGTTTTGAACTACATCTTCTGACACCTTGTGTATGTATGTTTTGAACTACATCTTCTGACACCTTGTGTATGTGTGTTTTGAAGTACATCTTCTGACACCTTGTGTATGTGTGTTTTGAATGAACTACATCTTCTGACACCTTGTGAATGTGTGTTTTGGACTACATCTTCTGACACCTTGTGTATGTGTGTTTTGGACTACATCTTCTGACACCTTGTGTATATGTGTTTTGGACTACATCTTCTGACACCTTGTGTATGTGTGTTTTGGACTACATCTTCTGACACCTTGTGTATGTGTGTTTTGGACTACATCTTCTGACACCTTGTGTATGTGTTCTTTGGACTACATCTTCTGACACTTTCTGTATGTGTGTTTTGGACTACATCTTCTAACACTTTCTGTATGTGTGTTTTGGACTACATCTTCTAACACTTTCTGTATGTGTGTTTTGAACTACATCTTCTGACACTTTCTGTATGTAATCTTTTGCTAACTTCCAGAATCGCAAAAATGATGAAGTCTCTTACGAAAAAATGCTCAAATTACGGCGAGACCTGCAAAAAACCCTGTGAGTATACAGATGCCAGATCAGTTCATTCTTTCGCTACCTAACAGTGCCTTATGTGGTTTTTTTTGGGTGTTAATCCATCTACTTTTACTTTATATGGACAGCTCCAGACTGTTGTTGAATTAACCCAGATGTAGTTCTCTTTAGTAACCTTATCTTCCACATCCTTCAGCATTTTTTACTTTTAGGCCATTTTTTCTGGGCTACTTTTTAATTCCTGTTTTCCTGCATGTCAGGTCAGATATAATTGTAAACAAATAGGTGGCTGGTGTCAAGAAAGTTACGATATCAATAGATTTTTGTGTGTTGAAAGAAAACAGAAGAGCAGCTGGCAAAATGTTTAGGATATTGCATGCACTCCAACTTTAGCGGACGTACTCTAGATAGTTAATTTTTGTATGTGTGCTCAGTCAATAGCTAGCCGTTATAGATTAAACCCAACTTTGTCTTCTTTCTTCCCCCCCCCCCCCGTAGATTAACATTGGAGACAGATAACAACTGTGTAGTGTAAAACTAACCAAGAACAATTTAGAAGTGATATCCTAATTCTTGAAGGCTGGGAATGTTGCTGATTCATATGGTATGCCAGCATAAGCTGTGAAAGCTAACATAAGCACCTCAACTGAAATATGGTACATATGGTTCCGTTCGCATTTAGCAGAGTCTGCTGAGACAGAAAGATTTTTGGAGATGCTGAAGAAAGAAAACCTCCGGAAGTCAGGAAATAATACAAGGATGATGCTGTTATCAGTTCCTGGGAACAATTTAAGCATGATCATTTTGAAGAGATGCCATTGACAGACAAGTAAACTATGAGCAGGCAGGCATTTCTCCACAATTACCTTATCGAAGTGTTAGTTGGAGATAGAAGGATCTTCTTTTGTGCTCTTTCTAGTCTAGTTGATCTTCATTTTGTTAAGACTATTCTTGATGCTGTTATTCCATCTTCTGCGTGTCTTCCCCTTGCTCTGTATCCATTGTATTTCTTCAGCATAGCTGTTTGTGGTAGTTGGTGCCAGGGCATTTTCATCAGATGGTCAAACCATGGCAGGCATCCAAAAAAGCAGATCCTGTATTGATCAGACTGTCTGATGAAATACGTTTAGCATATTTGTAATAGGCTTAGTTACTTTTATTTGAAGAGTGCTGGCCGTATCTGTTTAAACAGAGTTGAATGTTTTCCCTGGAACACGGTGGTCCAGAGTTCAATCTGGCAGTGGAAAATCAATCTAGCTTCATAACATCATCATCATCATATTGTGCCATTACATGTCATGTACGGCTCACTGTCTAGTCCTCCATGGTCTATCCTGTGCAGTCCTCTCAAGTTCATGGATTGAATCCAATCCAGTGCCTTTAGCTTCTCTCAGCGGGCTTCCTCCTGGACGTCGCCCTGATTTACTCAGTCCTGTTTCCCATTTTAGGGCCTGCTTGATGGTGTCCGTTTTGTCTCCCTGATTTACTCAGTCCTGTTTCCCATTTTAGGGCCTGCTTGATGGTGTCCGTTTTGTCGCCCTGATTTACTCAGTCCTGTTTCCCATTTTAGGGCTTGCTTGATTGTGTCCGTTTTGTCGCCCTGATTTACTCAGTCCTGTTTCCCATTTTAGGGCCTGCTTGATGGTGTCCGCTTTGTCGCCCTGATTTACTCAGTCCTGTTTCCCATTATAGGGCCTGCTTGATGGTGTCCGTTTTGTCTCCCTGATTTACTCAGTCCTGTTTCCCATTTTAGGGCCTGCTTGATGGTGTCCGCTTTGTCGCCCTGATTTACTCAGTCCTGTTTCCCATTATAGGGCCTGCTTGATGGTGTCCGTTTTGTCTCCCTGATTTACTCAGTCCTGTTTCCCATTTTAGGGCCTGCTTGATGGTGTCCGTTTTGTCGCCCTGATTTACTTAGTCTGTTTCCCATTTTAGGGCCTGCTTGATGTTTTGTCTCATATTTGCCCAGTATAATGCCATATTCTTTGTCGTATACTGATTATTCATGCATTTCTTCATAATATGGACACAAGCTATTTTTCTGTACAGTACATTTAATGAGTAAGGGAGCCCTGCCTCCTAGTGCCTTGTCTTGGTATCTCCTTCTGCGTTCGCCATTAAAAAGACGATTGTTGTGTTGTAGTTTACAGCTAGGCTGCAGTATCTGCACTTTTCTACCCAATAAATAAATAAGATTTCAGCATGCCCCTATTTAGTTACCTATTACGACTTGCTTGTTAGGGGTGCAGTGGATGTGTTCTTCACCCCCCATCCCCTTTTCACCCCACCATGAGGCCCCAGAACCCACACAAGTAATTACCTTGGTATTATATCTGACGTATCACACACCATGGGATTACCTGCAGTATAGTCTTTGTGACTGAGAATTGGCATATTTTGATCTAGTTGTTATTAATTTAAACTAATTTTTGAATAATTATTTTCATTTCAGCACACTTCTAGAACTGCTGAAGAGAAGAGAAAAAAGTAAGAAAGAACTCCTGCAGCTGACAATTGAAATTTTAGAAAAACGGTAAGTGTTGACCAGAAACTTTTGACATTCCTCCTTGGTTTAATGCCAGTAGTTATCTCTTCTTTGGGATCAAGCATCATGTGAACAAAGCAGTGTTGTCTATGGGGAATTGATTGCACACATGCACATGAATAAACTCTGTTAAGAAGTGTTTACTTCTTTATCCAGGTGAGACCCAGTGTCAGAGTTTAGTTAATGTGTTGTGGAATTCACCACATTCACAGCTTTACTAGAGATGTTGACCAGCACAGGACAATTGCAGGCCTTGGATAATCTATAGACAATTGTATGCTATGTCTGTACTACCAGGTAGTAGCAACAGTACTCTTGCTAAACTTCAGAACTCCTAAACCAGTATACATCTTTAATCTGTCTTTGCTACTAGGCAGTAGCAACCATACTAATGTTAAACCAGAACTCTAAACCTTGTGAACACCTCATGGAATACCTGCAGTGAGAGATTGACAGTCCATCCATTTTTGGGCACCATAAATCAACAAATCAAGACAGTGGGTGTCGTGCCGACATCTTTTACAGTCTATGACATGTCTTCTTCTTTTCCTCCTATTACCTCATTGAAATGTTGGGGGGGGGGGGGTGTGTGTGTGTGTGAGATGCAAGGATCTTCTGTGTTCTTTCTGATGCCTGGCATAAGTTGATCTGCATTTCTTTGTGGCTGTTCTTGATGCTGTTACATTTTTGTGTGGTCTTCCCCGTGCTATGTGCTCATTGTATTTCTTCAGCATGGCTCTCTGTGGCTTTTGGTACAACAGATGGTACCAGAGCATTCTTCTTAGATGCTAAAACAATTTCATCTGTTCTTTAATGAACTGTATGAATGGTTTCAGCCTATGCTATGTGATGTAGGTAATCATATCTTTCCACAGACTTCTGTCAATTTGTCATTCATTTCTGGAGCAGGTGTTCTTACATGTCATGTTGCAACAGTGTAACTTCTCTCTTGGTGGTCATTCTTTGACTCTTTTCTATGCCAGAATTTCTGCTCTTACTTTCTCATGACACATTTGAGGGTAGAGGAGCGAAACATGAAGAAGGAATAACCACAGCTGATACTGGCATGTTAGAGACTATGTAAGCACAGATAAACACAGACCTTTTTCAGCAGTTCTAGTAACTCTACCTGCCCCTGCTTCTTTGAAAAGTAGAATAAAATCCTGTCATCGTGTGTTTCTGGCAAGGTGATATTTTGAAACTGCTCTGGTGGTTCGTGTAGTCTTTTACAATCATCTACTTGTGCGTAATATGATAAAAGTTAATGATTTTGTGTATGTCTGGCATAAATCCTTAGAAAAATTGTACTGGGGTATTAATCATTCGCATTGTTTTCAGTGTGTTTGTATTTTTTTTTTAACTACATGGTTTATGTAATATATGGTTGTATGTATAAGCAGCAGAGACTTTGTTGATACAACAATGTAGCCTTGTTTTAGTAGTGTTGGTGATGTACCTTGGTTTCTCTGACTGTATCTACTCCCCACCTTCTCTCTCTTCCCCTCCCTCCCACTCTGTCCCCTTGACCTTTCTGTATTGTCATCATTTCACTTTCTGCCTTTTTTTTTTTTTTACCTATTGTGTTACTCCTCTCCCTGCCTTTATCACTGTCCTATCATTTATCTCTTCCCTACTGTCTTGATTTCACTCCCCACTCTGTTCCTCATTTATTACTCTCTATCATTGTCACTCTTAATTTTGGTCCTCTGAGGTAATCTCTTTTCATTCTGTCACTCTTCAGTCCATTGTCATTATCTTTTCCTTTACTGTTGCTCTCCTTTCTGCTGCTCAGGTATTCTTTTCTTTTGTCTGAGGTTTTTTTGAATAGACATATTACAATCATACTGATGGCTGGTTACCTATTCAGAAAACAGAAAAACTTTACATTGAAAATCTGGCATTCTAATGTGTTGATTTAATGAGGGCAAACAAAGGAAAAGATCCCAAGACTTTAGCTTCAAGAAGGACAGACAGTTCTGTGAGAGGAGCAGGTGGTGGCAGTGAAAGAGAAACTTTATATAAAAAAAGGCTAAAACAATCAGCTGTTGTCAAGAGATAGCTGCCGCTGTTTTCACAGTGAATACATATCACAACAGCAGGATAAATAATTATAGACTTTGAAATAGTGGTCTTTAAGCACAACAGTTGAATATTTTTTACACCAAACAGGCATATTTATATACAGAAATAATTGTTAGAACACCGGGCAGTGATTTTATAATTAATGATGAGCAGAATGTCAAGTGGTTGGGTTTTGGGTCTCACATCAGGTTGCTGATTTAACCCCAGTTTAGGGGGGAAAATATATGGCTTATCCTAAAAGTAAGAGAAATCTTGTCTGCACAGTATGCAGCCATGGCTAGCAGTTTGTTCTCCATCTTATTCCTTCAAGTATTTCAATCAAATGCCAGTTATGGCAGTAAACCATCTCCCTGGCAGGAATTTGTTTGTTAAGCTAGGCATAGGATTTCATTTATGTTACTATCTGGCTTTTTTTGGGTGTAAATCTCTGAGGTTGTAATGTTGGACAGTTCTCAAAGCTAACGAGGCTAAATTTGTCCACTAGGTGCTGTTAAATATTTGATTGTTATATAAGTTACCAGTACTGTTCTGCTTTATATGTTAGCAGTACTGTGCCACTTACATAAGTTATCAATATTGAGTCAGTGGCACTTGTTAAGTTAGCCGAACTTGCAACTAGCTAGAGCATACACAGCATGTTGGGTTATGCAACTTTGCTCACTTCCTGCAGAAACGAAATGGACGATTTCACAGGCAGCGCCCTCGCAGAGGCAGAGGAAGAGCGAGAAAAACACCCGACGTTTGTCGCCCCGTTTGCCCTCAACAGTCGCGGGGAGTGGGTTCAGACCTCCAAGGGGGTAAGTTACGCCCTTAATTGGTTGCAACAATTTGGGTGTAACGCAGCATTTGTAACAAACAAGAAAAGAAATGCAGTTTTGTTTCATGTTTGTTATACAATGAAGTATATTTGTATTGTAAGCCTTGATAAAGTACTTGATGAGGTACTGAGTCACAGCACAAGAGGGCCAGATTCCGTTTCTGGAGTTAATTAATTAACAAGCATAGGATTCTTTTCTAGGTCATGAGTTGAACTAGATATATAGTGCTAATGGGCACTCGATGGTTGATGATATCACAACAGCGGTCTTTGCTTCCGGAGACATTTTCTGGTGCCCATTTTAGACGGACAACCAGAGAACGAACAAACTTTATTTTCAAAGGGTTACAAATTAGGCACGCAGGCCTGTCTTACATTCGGCCCCTCCAAACTCCCAACTTTCACACAGCATTTGTATTTCATCAATAAAGCATGTTAAATTCATGTAATATTATACATATTAAAAATATCAAGTCAAAAACAAAAGCATGGGTGGTAAAATATATGCGCACGCTGGTGCGCGAAACACACACACCCACATACGCACGCAAACCCACTCGCTCACTTACACACACACACACACAGGCACCCAATACACACATACATACGAACATGCACAAAGATACATACACACACACACACTTTAAAACACACACGCATACAACCCAGACACATAAAGACACACACAGCTATATACACACATGTAGCCGCACAAAAAGAGAGCTCGAATCAGTATATAACATCCCTGTCAAAATGGGGATTTGAATGCATGACATAGTATGCTAAAGGCACTTGAATTATGAAATAGGTGAATGCTTTTTTTTTTCGGAAGAAGAAAAAAAATGAGAATGGCATTTTGTTTGTGCACTCGAGAAAGTAAAGTGAGAACGGGCCCTTTTCGTGCTGATGGGGCATCAGGCATATGATGCCAGACTTGAATTTTGATTGACCATTCAGTGGTGATGTCATCAACATAACGCCCTCCGCCTTTACTTCCACGGATGTTACATGGTACCCATTTTAGGCTGGGTCTACCCTGGAGCCGAGCTCCTGAACTTTCAGAATCTTGTATCCTCTGTGTTTGCCAGCATGTCCTTTGTTGTTCAAGATCTGTTTCATGGCTGGAAAATTTTAATCACAGAGCATACATACTTGCCTTCACGCTTGTGATAGTTGAGTACCCCTTACATAGGCCATGCATTTTCCCTATTATCTTTCTAGAATATTTATTTTGTCTTTCAAATTTAGGCGGCCCCCCCCCCCCCCCCCCCCAAATTTTTTTTTTTTTATGAAACCTGAGAATAACAGCATAGACCTTAGGCTGAATTATAATAGAAATTGAGCATTGCAGTTTTCAATTCTAAACATCTTTTAATATGTCTTGCCATGCCTTTGTATTTGTCCGTTTCAACCATGATATGATTTATGCAAGATATCTTTCTTTACCGTGATGCCTTCATCTCTGTGTCATGATACCTAGTATACTTTGATACTATGATACCACGCAGGCATTCCACGTCGTGATGTGCCAGGGCATCCATACATTGCCAATTTGCCAGACATAATTTAGTTCTGCCAGTCTTATCATTCCTTTATGTCAGACATTCATTCCATTGTCCTTGCACACACATTTCATATCATTATGCCATACATGCATTCCATTTCATACTAACAACTGATACCATGATGATGTATTTACTTTCTTGTTGCCAGGCATGTTCTTTTTCTTAAAATCCATGCTGCGTGGCTTTGGTAGTCATGCCTATCCACAACCTTCTGTCTCGCGTACTTTCACTCAACTCTATTAAAGATGATCCTCCATGCCATGATGTCAGACTGTCCAGCATCTTTCTCTCAATCTGCCTCTCCTTGCCTCTTTCTTTTCTACTGTCACCGTGTACTACTCCAGTTCTCTACTTGTCATCACATGACCAGAGTATAGAGGGTCTCTATCTGATTTGGGCCATGAGTTCACTTCGTGCCAGGCTTGTCTTTTGTTTAATCATTTTCCCATTGTTTGAGACTTTTAAGGTGAGCACCTCTCTTTAGCAGCAGTTGTTGCAAGTCCATTCTTATACAGGGTTTCTCTAACGCTGCCAGTTCATATTTTCCTCAATTTTAATCTTGCTGGGCTGTTTTTCTTTGTATGCATGGAGTCTGTTCTTTTTAACCCCAACATAAGGCCCCTGAACCCATTTTGGATAAACTGTCCAATTTTAGATGTTTTATAGTGGTAATAGAGGAGACAACAAAGTCAGTTTGCTTTCTGTATTCTATTTTCTACATCTGTCTCTATTTCTTGTGCTGCTATTCTCTGTGAATGTATGTGATTGTCTAGCAAATCTTTGATAGGTCTTTGCTCACTTCATGCCCTCCCCCCTCACCTCATGAAGGTGGGAGAACCTATAAAGAAATTAGCAAAATTTACTTATGCATTAAACAAACAGAATTTGTGGAGTTTGGCTACAGTGTACTTACCGCGTAGGCAGGCCAAACAATTTCTTGAGGCCTCAAGAGATGTGGTTTTACAGAAGAATACCTTGGACAGCCAAAAAAAAGCAATCAAGAAGTTTTGAAAGAGGCGGGAGCCCAAAGACAACTTATCACAGACATCAGAAGGAGACAGTCATCATTTTTCGGCCATGTTATGAGAAGAGGGAAAATAGAACATGTTGTCACCACTGGAAAGATCTGTGGAAGGAGGGATAGAGGAAGACAATGAGAGAAGATGCTTGACAGTCTTGTTGCATGGCATGGAGGTGTTTCGGCACACGAACTGATACATGCTGCGGGAGATCGCAGATTATAGAGAGGCATGATCGCCCACGCCAGTCGGCAAGGCACCTGATGATGATGATGATGTACTTACCGCTGTCTTTCGAAATATAAAGGTCCTAATCTTTTCAATTGTGTGACTCTCTTACTGTTGTGTGAAAACCATAAGAATTTTTTTTTTAACGACTGCCACAGAAATTGAACCTTAGTACCTAAAGGTCACGAAATTTTAAAAATCATTCTATAATCTCAGTGACTGAGCCCAACTATATTTCCAAAAAAGGCTGCATTGATTTTATTGTCATAGCATCAGTTCCTGGTGTTTTATTTTGAGGGCTTCTGTTAAATAGTTTTTCCACTTCTGCTGTAGTAATTGATGATTCCTTTCTGTTCTAGTGGTAAACAATATTTACCAGTGAGGTAAGGTACTTTAAAATTCTGGCTACTCTCATCCCGTTCTCTTTTGATCCATTCTTTCACAACAGTTTATGGGTTATAACCATCATCTTTCAAACTCATTCTTCCAGTGCTTTTGTCAGAAGATAAAATCTTAACATTTGTTGGCATAATAAAGTACGTTAACCATCTACGATTTGACAGTTTTAATAACTATTTCAAAATTAAATAAGTTCATCACAGGTTTTCAGTCTGTAGCTTTGTGTGTGTACACAAAGCTACAGACTGAAAACCTGTGATGAACTTATTTAATTTTGAAATAGTTATTAAAACTTCTTTTTTGATGTTGGCTTGTTTGTTGGTTGTTGTGCTTTACCAGAAGCGATGTTATGTTACCAGAAACGATATTTTGATGATTGTGATATGTACTTGATCTATTCAACAAGTGCCTGTGGTTTGAGCACAGTGAAAATATTTACTCACATCATAGTCAGAAATGTGAAATTTTCTTTATCCCTCCCACCCCCAATTATTTTCCTCGGGACTGCATACACTTTTCTTTGTAGTCCCATCATTGTTAGAAGCATTTCAGGGAGGTTTCTTTACAGCTCAGCCATGGAGTTCTGTATAAAATCATCTCATAATTCAGATTAATCCCTTTTAGCAGCATTTTCAGCTTCGGGGTACAGCCACAAATCACAAGAAACTTATGTCAGGAGACCGGCGTGATGCTGACCACAACACCCATCTTGTGCCGATTGGTCTATAAAATATAGGTCTAGTCCTGTATGCCTAAAGGTGTAGAAAAGGGTCCTTAACCTTTATTTACTTAGTATGTCTAGAGAGTATGGATCCTGATGGTTCAAGTGCCAGGCAGGTAGGGGCTGACTGCAAACTTGTAGATTGTAGATGATCAGGAACATGATGGTGTACTGCTGACTGTTGTAGATTATCTCGATTCTGTTGTTTCCTTCATCTCTCCCTCTACAATACCCCACCAAGCTATCTCTGGAAACAATGTTCTTCTTACCTGACTGTGAAATACCAGGATGTTTAACTTACCTGTAACATAGTACCACCTTCATTAGGATTCTTCTTCTGGTCTTGTTCCAGATGCACGCCCATTTTACATATCTGTCTTATTTGTGTAGACTGTTAGTTTCTTGCATCAAGCAGATGCACTCTGACTTCAAAGGAAACGCCCCTAATTAGTCACTGTTTGTAACATGCCTGTGAAGGGAGGGGCAGTAGGTCTATTCTGGCCCCCATCCCTAATGGGCCCATGGAACCCACACAGGGAAAATCTGTCAACTCACAAACATTTGGAATAATATCAAGAACTTTTTGTTGTTCTTATGCGCAGATGTTTGTATTTATCTGTGGGTTTTACACGATTGATGCCATTAGAGTTCTAAACATTTTTCTTACAGGAGGAGATCACTCCAGTGCGAAAGAAGAGGCAATATCGCAAAAGGAAGCAGTCACAGCAGAACCAGATCTTACCTCATGCCATCTTGCAGCACTTACAGCAGCAGCAGCACCACCACCACCACCATTCGGTGGATGACGTGGACATTGTTGATAGTTCTGATGAAGATATTTTATCCCCTGTAAGTAACCTGTTTGCTGACATAAGTGTTCTTTGTGTAAATACTGACAGTGTGTCTTGACTATGGGAAAGTTATTGGGCAGGGCTATTCAACTAAGTTTATCCAAGGGCCAACATTTTGAAAACGCGGATCATAGCGGGCCAGATGCCTGAGCTCAAGCATAGACAATGATTAATATAAAACAACTGGCAATGATCAGCGGGCCACTTGTTAGGTCTCCGCGGGCCGCCAGTTGAATAGCCCTGTTTTAGGGGAAGAGAGGCAGATATTCTCCACAACGAAAAGATATTAAACAGTTTGCCCATCATGACATGGAAAAACGTGTGTACGAGAAATGATGTAAAGTGCACATGGCAGAAGGTTGTGGGCATGATTACCAACACCACAGTGCATGAACGATAAGCAGAAGTGTTATTTATATTTAGCAGACATTCTGTCTCCGTTTGTCTGTGTCCCTTCCAAGTGCCTATTTGGGTAACAATGTCAGAGTGCATCTGACCAAGAGACGAGAAACCAACTGCATAAACATAAGCCAGATCTGTAAAGCGGATGTGCAAGCAAAACTCAAGGTCTGAATCAAGACCAATGTTCACGAGTGGACGAACAATCAGAACTTTCTGCTACAGTTTACAGCCGGTGTACATTAAGAAAAAGAGGACTCACACTAGTTATTACCTGGTTCTAGGCTATCTGGCCTTGATGAAAGACTATAAAGTGTCTGTCCTTTCTTCTTTCCTGACCCTCTCCCCCCACCCCCCTCCCATAATCTGTCAGCCATTACAAAAAGTATTGTAAATGTCAATGATGTTTTGAAAACGAAAATAATTTTTGATTCCGTATTTGCTTTTTGTTGTCTACCTTTAGGCTTTGTCACAGTCGGAACATGAAGATGAGAATGATCCAGATGGCATGTTTGCTTTCAAGAGGAGGAGGAACTGCCATTATCATCAAGTGAGTACGACCTTTATTTTAGGTAAACTGCTTCCAGATCCCTTCAGCGTTATACAGATACAGTAATTGGTGTGAGTCTCTGCTGTGGTCTCATAAGGTCTGTGATTGGAAACTGCACCAGGTGGATTTTTAAAAATGACCTCAGCTGCCAAGTCGACCAGCCTAAAATGGGTACCAGGTAATGTCCTGGGAAGTAAAGGTGGTTGGAGCATGTTGACCACCAACAGAAAGCCGCGTCTGGCATCATGTAAATGTAAAAAGTAAACGACCCTTTTCCATGCCTTTAGGCATATAGGGCTAGACCTATATTGTTATAGACCAATCGGCACAAGATGGGTGATGGGGTCAGCATCACGCTGGCCGCCCCTACTTCTCGGGACTGCACCCGGTACCCACTCAAGGCTGGGTCGACCTGGGAGCCAAGGTCATTTTTGAAAAAAGTCCGACTCTGCCAGGGAGCGAACCCACGACCTTCAAATCGGCTGTGAGCGTCTAGCCGCTCTGCCACAGGGCTCCCCTGGCATCATATACCTGATGAAAAATACTTTTACTTCCCTTTAAATAATTAGCGTTGATTTATTGTTACTTCCATAGATACATATTCAGATGGGTGGGGAATAAGAGCTTGTGAATTATGGTAATGTTTAGTTGGAGTGCTTCAGTTGAAAAAAAATGCTCACTGTTGTCTTGTATTGACCACTTTTTTAGGGTGGTATAGACAGAAGGGTTCTGGGCTTGAGAATTTAGGGCCGCATAGTGGGCTTAAGTTGTCGTGTCAGAGTATATTTGTTCTCTCAAAGAGATGCCGTTAGGTTATAGTTCAAATCCATTCGTGTTGTTTCTTACTTTTCCCAAAGTATGGTTGATCTATAATTTTTGTTGTCATTTACCTTTAGCATAAGCCTAGAGTTCACACACACCTTTCTTTCTTTGGCTTTGGGCCATGACTCGCATGGTTTGAAACATTTTAATACAGTGTTTGTTCAGTTTTATTGTATTGATCATTGTCATTGTTAAGTAGGCTCAGTTCTTTTGATGCAGTGTTAAAGATATTTTTTCTCATTAATCACCAATTTCATTTTGGTACTTCAGCTACATGTTAACATATATACTGCTCTTCCCCCCCCACAGACAAAATAAAAATTACCATTACTGTCTGTATTTGCCACTTTTGTGGTGTAGGCAGGATGGGTCTTTGAGCACATCAGGTGCATTTGCATTTTCTTTATTTATATGATCAAATGTTTTTGAATTAGTTACTTATTTCTAGGCTTCATGACAAGTGGAACAATTCTGATTCTTTTGCTTGCAGCCCATGCAATCTGGCGTAGGAAACTGGCCATGGTATGGGTCAAAAGATGGTGGAAAGGCTGACCGGAGGTTCCGTTTCTCACTCACATCTTTACCAACAGGTTGTTTGGGCTATGCACGTAGGAGAGTGGGCAGAGGAGGGAGGTGAGTCTAATAGAATTTTCAGTTTGCAGTCATAAGTGCTGTCAAGAAGTCTGTGTGTCGACCGCGCCATTACTAACTTTTGTGTCATAATTTAGCAGGTCTGTTCATTAAAATTTTTTTTAATAGATAGTCTTTGGGGGTGCACCAGGACATCCTAGGAAAAAAAGGCCACCTGTCAGGAACCTGGCTAACATAGATATGATCTATATTTCCTTTGAAGTCGAAGCGCAGTCTGCCTGAAAAGGCAAGGAACAAGTGTGCAAACAATAACCCACATCTGTGAAACTGTTGTGCACACAACATTCGTGTCCAGGAACATGAGCACAGACAACATGCCAGGATTTTCTGCGAGAGTTTATAGCCAGTCTTCTCCGCGTTCACCGGCTGTAAACTCCAGCGAAAAGTTCTGGTGGTTTGTCCACCTCTGGACTTTAGACATGTTCCAGAACCTGAGTATTGCGTGCACATCCGTTTAACAGATTTGACTCAATTGTATGCAGATTGTTGGTTCCTTGCCTCTCAGGCAGATGCATTCCAACTTTAAAGGAAGCCCCCAGTTAGTCAACTCTTATGACAAGACATGCTTGTTGGGGAGGCAGTGGATCTAATCTTGTTTTCCCCTACAATGGGGCCCTGAAACCCACACAAGATTTCTAGTACAGTTTAGGTGTCGCTGTATCAAGTTGTGTTGGGGATTACATTGATTTAGGTGGCTCTTGCCATTGGAAGGAAAGGTTGAAAGCAAGCAAGCAAGAGATAGGCTGTGACAGTTTGCAAGAAATGTTAAGTGCTGAATACAGCATGTGACTAGAAAGCTGAACGGAGGGAATGGAAATGATGCGGATAAGTACAACCAAACCCGTTGTCCATATCAGCAGCATACTAATTACATTGCAGACTGGCTGGAAAACTCAATTAACAAAACAACAGGTTTAAAAACGACCACGGTCAACATGAACCAATAAATAAGGGGGGGGGGGAGTGCATGAAGGCTATATATTACAAAATGAAATAAGCTAGCATTGGAAAAAAGGTGGGGGGGGGGGGGGGGGGGTTATAGACAAGTTAAAAGAATGAATTGATTACCTGATTTAATTTTATATATATATTATTTTTTTTATTTATATTTATATTTCTTTCCGTTTTTTTTTTCTTTTTTCAAATGTGTTGATGAATATTCATCCCTCCAGGGCTGGTAATGCCAAAATTGCAAATGACCCTATTTTCTATGGAGTAGTGGCTGGTTTGGTACCTGGGCAAGATTTTATAGCTGTAACTGAGATATAGCCTTGATGGTCAGAACTATTAACATGGAGGGAATGATTGAGTTTGAAAGACCAAGTGTTGCAGTTGCATTGCAGCCAACCTTTATTGTGGAAATTTCACTCGACTGGGGTAGCACTGCTCTGGGTTTATGTTTGAGATAATATTGTTCATATGGCCCTGAGTTGGAGATTAATACAGGTTAGATATCTATTGATTCTAGCACAGCCTGTTGAGAATTGGAGAATAACGCTGGTGTATATTTCATTGATGTCACCTGATGGAAATATTTCGGTGAGACTAAAAGTGTGGCCTTTATGTCTACAAGAAATGTTTATGTTACTTCTTCTGTCCTTGAAACAGTGGTTGGTATGTGGTACTTGGGTTAATGACAAGGCTGCTTTATCTGCACCTTTCAGCATTATGCATCCAGTTTCAGCAGGCCTTCAATGTTAGTTAGTTAGTCTTTCCTCTTGTGTCGAGTGCGGCACATAGGGCAGAGGTCATGACTCTCCATGCATGGCGGTTCGTTGCAATCTGTTGTAGGTCTTGGATTTTTGAGTGGCCCATGAGCGAGCCTTCCCTGATGATAGTTCTACGTAGAGTTTCCCTTGGTCTTCCACGAGATCTTTTCCCCTGTGGTGTCCAAATGAGGACTTGGTAAGGAAGTCTTGATTTATCCATTCTAAGGGCGTGGCCGACATAGTTCCAGCGGCGTTTTCGTATAAAATTAGACACATACTCTTGCCTGGATTCTTGCCTTATTTGTGTATTGGTTCGGAAATCTGACCATTTGAAATTTAGTATTCTTCTAAGGCATTTATTTTCAAAATTGTCTAATTTTGTGTCTAGAGTTTTCGTTGATTTCCAGCTCTTGCATCCATAGGTAAGTACTGGAATCACACAAGAATTGAAGATCTTGAGTTTTGTGTGTTTGCTAAGTGTCTTTGATTTCCAGATGTTGGACAGTTTATTGAAGGCACTAGATGCCAGTGCTATTCTAAATGGTATTTCTGGTGCGGTATCTCCTGTAGATGACATCTTGCTCCCTAGGTAAGTGAAACTGTTGACTTTTTCAAGGCTGTTGTTGTTCAGCGTGATATCAACTGAACTGTTGGTATTCAATGAGCGGTATTTAATGCTAGTTGAATGGCAGTGGGTTTTTCAGGTTTTTTTTTTTCGGATTGCAGAATGGGGCCCCAGAACCCACACTGAGAGTATGAAATTTATGAAACCTTGAATTAATCCTATCTGTTTTCTCCACAAAATAGGGTGATCTTTGACAGAGCAAGCACACCTTGGGATGACGTGTTAGAGCGACTTGACTTTGGCTCGAGTTACCACCAATCCAGTATTTACTCAGACTACATCATCTATGTCAGGGATAACAAAATGTTAGTAGCTCATAGCTGTTTATTTACACTCCCTGTATGCCCTTGTGTGTGTGGCTGGCTACCTCTTTCTCTGCATCTGGTTTTGTCCCTTTCTGCATCTATACGTGTTTCTGTTTTTCTCTCTCTCTCTCTCTCTCTCTCTCTCTCTCTCTCTCTCTCTCTCTCTCTCTCTCTCTCTCTCTCTCTCTCTCTCTCTCTCTCTCTCTCTCTCTCTCTCTCTCTCTCTCTCTCTCTCTCTCTCTCTCTCTCTCTTTTTCTCTCTCTCTCTCTCTCTCTCTCTCTCTCTCTCTCTCTCTCTCTCTTTTCTCTCTCTTTCTCTCTCTCTCTCTCTCTCTCTCTCTCTCTCTCTCTCTCTCTCTCTCTCTCTTTTTTCTCTCTCTCTCTCTCTCTCTCTCTCTCTCTCTCTTTTTCTCTCTCTCTCTCTCTCTCTCTCTCTCTCTCTCTCTCTCTCTCTCTCTTTTCTCTCTCTCTCTCTCTCTCTCTCTCTCTCTCTCTCTCTCTCTCTCTCTTTTTCTCTCTCTTTTCTCTCTCTCTCTCTCTCTCTCTCTCTCTCTCTCTCTCTCTCTCTCTCTCTCTCTCTCTCTCTCTCTCTCTCTCTCTCTCTCTCTCTCTCTCTCTCTCTCTCTCAGGCGGTCTGTGCCTCTCTCTGTCCCTCTCTGCCTCTAATGGATACCAGATATTTATGTAAATTGAAGAGGGACTTCATTGCATTGGGTTTTATCCCCTATGGTTTGATCTCTACACAGAATGGCTAGTTGCCTGCTGACCCAGCGACGCGGTCCAGGAAATGAACCCTTCAGAGCAGAGGACAAGCGGAGATTCCTACAGGTTTTGAGAAACGGAGCTGGTCGCTAAACTGTGTCGTGCTGTGATCTAGAATATATGAACACCTGTCAGTTTGTGTCTTTAAAGAAGAAGAGTATTTGTAGTAATGTTACCTTTCCCAAAACTGTTGATCTCTCTGGCAAATCTCTACATCCAGGGTAGAAGAGGAACACCTTAGTAAGTTACCTTTCTCTTTTGTACTGTTGCCTAAACCCTGGTGCTTGCTGTTAATGTTTCAAGTAATATATTTTTTGATGTTATTTACAGACATCATTATCGACCAAAGTCGCCCCCTCCGAAAGATTCTTCCCCGGCTGCTGGTTCCAGTAATGGGACTAGAGGAGGGACTGGTGAAGGGGGCAGCTGTGGCCGGCACTTGTCCGAGTTTGACATGGAAAGTTTCCACAGCCACCAGGAACAGCTCCTGGAGATGCAGCGGGAGCAGCAGCAGAGACTCTTCACAGAAGATGATCATGACACTGCTGTGGTGCTAAATCTGGAGCCCATGCTCCGTCAGGGCGACCCCAGCTCACGTTTTACATTAGACTCGGCCAGTGCGGAATTTGCCGTTCGGGCATTAGTGGAGTCTCCGGATTTAGGCTCTTTATCGTCACTGGAAGGGAGCACCACTGGGAACCTGAACACCACCACCACAGTATCCTCCATAGGCAGCAGAGTGGGTTTACAGCAGTTGAGTTTTTCATTAGTGAACAAAGCAGTTGACTCTACCAGCACAAGCGGAGCAAATGGTAAAACTATTGCCAGCTCAGTGTCGTCCCTGAAAAATTCCCAAACTGACAGTTCTTTGATGACAAAACTGCCCGTCATCACCAACTCAGTGATGCCAACATCCTTGTCGTCCGTCTCACTGCTTCATAAATCACCGGTGGTGCCCTCATTGCCACAGATAACATTGTCGCAGTCTGCAGTGTCATTAGCGTCACTGTTGCCATCTTCAGTGTCACTTTCATCCACTGCCACCATCCTGCTGTCAAAAACAAATGGTCCTTTAACATCATCCACACATGGTAGGTGGTTCCCTCTGTTGTATTTGAACACAAGTCTTGAATTGTCCACGTTACATTTGTGTGTGTGTGTGTGTGTGTGTGTGTGTGTTTTATTGAATCTGAGCACAAAGTTTTGTGTTGTTTGCTTGTTGCATTTTGTATTACCTTTTTTTCCCGTTAAAACTGAACACAAGGTCTTATGTTGTGTCCGCTTGTACCATATGTATAAATCCTTGTGTTGTCCGCTTGTTACATTTGTATTAGTACCACCACGTTGGGTAACAATCAAGTGAAAGCGGGACTCGCTCTCACATCTCAAATAGGTTTACCCTTAGCCACCAACAGCCCCGCGGCTTCCTGCATTGCTAGGGGAGGACAGGGTGTCACTTCTAACTGCGAGGACACACTTCCACCACTTGTAATCATGCAGTGGAACGCCGAAGGCGTATTTAACAAAAAGAGAGAACTAGAGGAACGCCTGCGAGCAGAAAAAATCGACGTTATCTGCATTCAAGAGACGCACCTCAACCCAAGTAAAAGATTTCATATTAGAGGATATGAAATATTTCGCCAAGACAGAGAAAATAGACATAAAGGTGGGGTTGCCACGCTGGTTCGTAATTCAATACCAGCGGTTGAACTACATAGATCCAACCAGCTGAATACTGAATTCATTGCTGTCCAGCTGCAACTAAAAAATAAAAATATGTCAGTCTACAACATTTACTCACCACCTACCCTCCCCACCGAACTTGAAGCTATACAGGTTCAAGAGAGCATCTTGCTAATTATCGGAGATTTGAACAGTCACTCACCCAGCTGGGGTTATGACTGTTTAGATGCTCGTGGAGAAAATCTTGAGGAGTGGCTAATCACAGTCTGTCTCACCCTTCTCAATCACCCTGATGACCCGCATACGCACTACTCTAGACGATGGCGCACAACAAGCACACCTGATCTAGCATTTGCAACAGACGACATCCATAAGATATCTGTTAGGCAGGTGTGCGACCAGTTAGGAGGCAGTGACCACAGGCCAGTGAAGATTCTGATAAACAGCCTAAAAATAGAAAAATCTCCAGATACTGCACCAAGCTGGAACTACAAAAAGGCAGATTGGAAACTTTTTCAAGAACTTGCAGACTCAAACTGCAAAGCAATCAGCCTTTCAGGTAAGGTTGACAAGAGATGCACAAGAATTCAACAAGGCCATACTGAATGCAGCAAAAAAAAAACATTCCTAGAGGAAAGAGGCACAATTACAAGCCATATTGGTCACCAGAACTGGAAGTGCTTCACGGTTCGCTCTGTGATGCTAGAGATAGCATGGAAGCTGATCCAACAGACGAACATGTGAAGCAACACAACAAAGCAAGGGCTCTCTATGTCAGAGAAAGAAACCTACAGTGTAGAAAGTCCTGGAAAGAAAAGACTGCTTCTCTGAACATGGAAAAAGACACCACAAAATTGTGGAGACTGACAAAGGCACTTAATGATGACAACCCATCTCATGGAAAAACAGTTCTCCAACAAGAAGGAAATCTACTCACAGGGAAGGAAGCAGCGACTCTGATGGCCCGAAACTACGAGAAAGAAAGCTCATATTCAGTAACCCTGGAGCAAAAGAAAGCAGTCCGAGATGGGATAAACTCCATATTCAAAAAAGCCTCTTGTGAGCCATGCATGGAGACAGACATCACTCTAACTGAGCTACTAAGAGCAATGAGAAAACTCAAGTCAAAGAAGGCACCTGGCCCAGACGAAGTTTCAAACGACATGCTCAAACATATGGGTCCAGTAGCACAAAACATCTTACTCCAGATATACAACTATAGCTGGAAACTAGGCAGAGTCCCAGATATCTGGAAAAATGCTATAATCCACCCTATCCTCAAAAGTGGCAAGGACAAGAAGGACCCTCAGAGCTACAGGCCTGTCAGTCTGCTAAGCTGCCCCGCAAAACTGATGGAGAGAGTGCTAGCCACCAGACTTCAGTGGTTCCTAGAAACCAATCACAAACTGGATCCCGCTCAGACAGGCTACCGACAGCACAGAAGCACTGATGACCAGGTAGCATACCTTACACAGGACATAGAAAATGGCTTCCAGGAAAAGAAGAAAACCCTCACAGTCTTTTTTGATATGTCCAAGGCCTTTGACAAAGTATGGAAGGATGGCTTGATGCTAAAGCTCTTACATAGTGGAATAAGAGGCAGAATGTACTACTGGATACAAGACTTCCTATCACACAGGCGGGCATCTGTGAAACTAGATGAAGCACATAGTCCCAGATTCAAGCTGAGAGCAGGAGTACCACAGGGTAGTGTACTGTCTCCAGTCCTGTTCCTGATTTACATCAACGACCTACCTCAAACTTTACCCAGACATGTATCACATTCTCTTCATGCAGATGACCTAGCTGTGTGGTACACCTCTGAGTTCATTGGACCTGCTATATCAAAACTCCAGGAAAGTGTGAATAGTGTCATAAACTGGGCCAACAAATGGGGCCTCGAAGTAAACAGGAACAAAACTGTAGCAACACTCTTCTCATTGTCTACAAAGGAGGAAAAGTTTACATTAAAATTCAACAATGATGCTGTTCCACGCTCCAATACTCCAACCTTCCTGGGAGTCAAGCTTGACAGTCGTCTGACATGGAAACATCACATACTAGAAACTAACAAAAAAGCCATGAGAAAACAAGGTGTGATGAAGAAATTGGCAGGCACCACTTGGGGAGCAGACAGTTGTATCTTGAAGCAGGTATACACCGGCACAGTCAGACCAACTCTCGAATACGCATCATCGTCATGGATAACAGCAGCCCATTCCAATAAACAGATACTAGACAAAACGCAAAATAGAAGTCTGCGTACAATTCTGGGAGCCATAAAATCTACACCTATTGTAGAAATGGAAAAGGCAGCCAACATCATCCCCTTAGAAGAAAGAAGAAGGACAAAAGCAATTCTACATGCTGAAAAAATGAAGAGAATGTTAAACCACCCATTACACGAAAAATTGGCAGCCAGGACAAAAAACAGAATAAAGCGCAGAAGCCTAAACCATCTAACGAAGGAATTTGGAAAGTCATTCTCTTCACTACTTAACCAACAATGTACACCTGAAGAGCTATCTTTCGATCTCTGGGACTCCAAATTATTGACACTCAATGTGTCAACATCCATCCCGAACCTGGGAAACAAAGATGCTGAGCCCGCTTTAGTGAAGAAAGCACTCACAATAGAACACCTCAACAACATGTTCCCACAGGACAGCTGGACAAGAATCTACACGGATGGATCAGCAAAAGAAGCAACTACGAATGGTGGGGCAGGTGTCTACATAAAACACCCAGATGCCACTACTGTGTCCCTAGCAGCCCCCACCGGACGTACTTGCTCTAACTACAAGGCAGAACTCTCAGCTCTATTGATGGCAGCACAGTATATGAACAATCTGCAAATCACCGCAGGCAGGATAGTTTTTCTCACTGACTCACTGTCAGCTGTACAGGCCCTTGAGTCCAAACCTACCGACAGCACACTACAAAGTATAACACAGGAACTTGCTATGTTGTCAAATAAGGCAGAAATTCACTTGCAGTGGATTCCGTCTCACTGTGGCATCAAAGGCAATGAAAGCGCAGATGCTTTAGCCAAGGAAGGCAGTAACAAACTACAGACCTACCAGCCACTATCTTTTCCAGAAGTCAAAACTCTCATTAAGAGAAAATCAGAAACAGACTGGAAAAACAACACTGGTTATGACTACGGAAAAGATTTTCTGAGGCACTTGAACAGAACAGACCAAGTCACAGTTTTTCGCTTACGCACTGGACACTGCAGACTCAATAAACACTCAAATTAAATTAGGTATGAGCCAAACAGCTCTCTGCCAGTGTCTTCGTGCTGAACAGACTCCAGAACATGTCCTGCAAGACTGTCCTCTCCTGGCGGAGCTGCGGAGCGACATATGGCAACACCCAGTAGAACTGACAACTAAGCTTTGGGGAAACCTAAGAGACCTTGAAAAGACATCCCAGTTTATGATCCACAGTGGATTATGCGCATGACCAGAGATCGCTGAAGAAGAAGAAGAAGAAGTATTAGTACTGTCTTTTGTTCGTTAAAATTGAACACAAGGTCTTATTTTGTGTCCACTTGTTCCATATGTATAAATCCTTGTGTTGTTTGCTTGTTACATTTGTATTAGTACTGTCTTTTGTTCGTTAAAATTGAACACAAGGTCTTATTTTGTGTCCACTTGTTCCATATGTATAAATCCTTGTGTTGTCTGCGTGTTACAATCGTATTAGTACTGTCTTTTGTTTGTTGCGTCTGAGCACAAGGTATTATCTTCTGTCCACTTGTACCGTGTATGTAAATTATTATGTTGTCCGCTTGTTACATTTGGTTTAGTACTGTCTTTTGTGTGTTGCGCTTGAGCACAAGGTCTTATATTGTGCCTGCTTGTTACCTTTGTATTAGTACTGTCTTTTGTTAATATAATCTGAACACAAGGTCTTATATTGTGCCTGCTTGTTACCTTTGTATTAGTACTGTCTTTTGTTCGTTAAAGCTGAACACAAGGTCTTATTTTGTGTCCACTTGTTCCATGTGTATATATCCTTGTGTTGTCCGCTTGTTAAATTGTATTGTACTGTCTCTTTGTTGAATCTTAGCACAAATCCTTATGTTGACTCCACTTAAGACATTTGTTTATGTATCGGCTGTCTGTTGTCTGAATCACTGCCTACAGACTGCAAACTTTGGATTCCGAGACACAGGATTTATTGAATATGGACAGTGACTTACTGAAATTGTTGAAATATCACAAGTGGAAAATATCTTGGGAATTTGAAAACTACACCTGAAATTGTTGAAGTTACAAATGAAAATGTAGAAATTTTACAAGATCAAAATAAATTGGAAATTTACAGACCACAGCTGAAATTTTTGAGTAGGAAGTAGGAATTTGTTGGGATTTGACAGTCTGCATCTGAAACTGTTCCACTACCAACTGATATCTCAAGTAGAAACAATAATGGACGAACAACCAGCACTTTCTGCTAGAGTTTACAGCCGGTGATTAAAAAACAAGATAGAGGAAGACAAAACTGCAACTTAGATATAACCGATTAAAAAATTTTTGTTAGTTAATTACTTCTGCCCTGGCTTGTTTTTTCTGGATAATATAGTGTCCTGTATTATTGTGTATATTTGTTCAGTTTTTATCTGCTCTTTTTTAAAATAAAAAAAAATAAGACTTGGTATCTGTGGTATGGGATATTTTAACAGATTCTCAAAATTGTTGACACTATTTTTACTTGAATGTGCTTTATGCTGTGTTACCTTTAAAATCTGGTTACCAGATAGGTTTAGACGACAGATCAACATTATGGCACAAGGGTAGTAACCCATAAGTGCTCCGTTCTACTTCTAATTCAAATCTTAGTTCGAAGAATCTCAGCGCAGTGCACAAACTCCATAGCACTGGCGAGGACCCTGAATTACTTTGTGTAGATTTGTCACTCAAAATTTTGCCCGAACAGCGCCATTAGTTTACTCTTTTCGATTTCCAACTACCGGTGGTTTTTTTTTTACCTGCGCAACAATACGCACGGGCGTCCGATCTTACTGCCCAGAGATCAGGGGAAATTACTAGAAGTCTACGTGAAAAAATCCCAGCCTTCACTGTGGCTTGAACCCAGGACCTCCAGCACTTAAGGAGGACGCCATGCCTCGAGACCATGCAGTCCATCAAGAACACTGAACTGAAATTTTTTTTAATGCATTCGCATCCAGAAAATGTTGGCTGAATCTTTCACTGCGCTTGATGTTTTACTCAGACTAATCATTTATTGTTGTTTACTGGTTCTTGTGCAGTGCAGCCCAGTGTGCATTCGGTTCAGTGTTAATGTGTACTTGAATTCTTGATGTTTATGTAGACTGATCATTTATTTATCAATGTTAGCTGATTCTTGTGCAGCCAAACCCAGTGTATGCTTGTTCAATATTTATGTGTACTTGATGTTTTTGTAGACTCCTCATTTATTAACTGATGTTTGCTGATCATTGTGCAGTCAAACCCAGTGGGCTTTCAACATCTCCTGCAGCGAGTGTCCTTCAGCTCAACTTTCCTGCAAGTTCATCCTCGTTGCTCGCCACACTCCAGTCATCAGCATTGTCGTCATCTTCGTCTAGTCCAGCGTTCATCACTGTCTCATCATCTTCGCCATCTCCTGCTGCCGTGACGCCAACAGCTACCTCTGCCACATCAGCGACAGCGGCGGCTCTACAGTTGCAGCGGTCGCTGAACAACAAAGTTAATCCCGTTAATTCACCAGCCAGTTTGTACAAGTTGCCAGTTTCTGCAACACCCAGCTCAAACTTTGATATTCTCAGGTATGTTATTTTCTCCTGCATATTGTTAAGCATTTTTTAAATGTATTTTTTCTTTTTGACCTTTTTCTTTCTTCCTCCCTGCTGCAGCCCTCCCTCTACTTTATTCTCCCTCATTGTAATCTTATGCTTTTCTTTTTCTCCACCTCCGTCTGAATCCTACACTCAGTCTCTCTCCCTCTTACTTTCTGATCGTCCATCTACATCGTTTTTTTTCTCAGGCGGCCCCGCCCCCTCCTTCTCTTCAATCACACTACCTCATTTTTATCTCAGTCTATGTGTATTTACATGGCTTTATTTCATGTTTTTGTCAGTCTTTTTTCTTACTTTCTCTGACTGTCACTTTCTATGAAAGTATTTGCTTCTCTCACCTGCTTCCTGTTATCTCTTTCTTTATCCTGTATTCTCCGTGTTTCTCTAATTCACTACATGCCTTTCAGTCTCATGTATGAGAATCTTCTTCTAGAGCATTCCCAGCCCTTGAGGTTCATTGCTGCAGATATAAGCTATCTCCTTTTATCTCTGAGATTGGCCTTTTCTTTCCAGTGGGTGACTCCCAAGTGTTTATTGGTCTGCCTGTGTATAATCATTTATCTCTCCACCATTTTCTTGGTCTATACCTCATGGTCTACTTCTATTCTACTCTTTTGTGAACATAGTTTTTGTCTCTCTGTTGTGTAAACATGGTTTTTGTCTCTCGGTTGTGTGGACCTAGGTTTTGTCTCTCTGTTGTGTAAACATGGTTTTTGTCTCTCGGTTGTGTGAACATGGTTTTTGTCTCTCGGTTGTGATAACATGGTTTTTGTCTCTCTGTTGTGTAAACATGGTTTTTGTCTCTCTGTTGTGTAAACATGGTTTTGTCTCTCTGTTGTGTAAACATGGTTTTTGTCTCTCTGTTGTGTGAACATGGGTTTTGTCTCTCTGTTGTGTAAACATGGTTTTTGTCTCTCTGTTGTGTAAACATGGTTTTTGTCTCTCTGTTGTGTAAACATGGTTTTTGTCTATCGGTTGTTTGGACATAGGTTTTGTCTCTCGGTTGTTTGGACATAGGTTTTGTCTCTTTGTTGTGTGAACATGGGTTTTGTCTCTCTGTTGTGTGAACATGGGTTTTGTCTCTCTGTTGTGTGGAAATAGCTTTTGTCTCTGTTGTGTAAACATATTTTTTCTCTTTCTGTTGTCTGCCTTTCTCTCTGTATGCCCTAAACCCACTTTATGACACCAGTAATTAGTGATGATTTAAACAGATAACAGGCATCTGTTTTGTTAGTACGTTTTACACTGTCTAGTCATTTTACTCTCTCTCTTTTTTCCCTTCTCCATCCACCACAGACATTCCTATCTGTTATATGCCATTACTCAAGTGTCTTTTTCTCTCTCACTAGGCCAAACCATGATGAGATTATGTTCAACAAAGACACAGGAATCCCCATGGATGTGACATGACAGAGGTCTGTGGCGTCTGCACGGCGCTGACTTGTTTCTCTAACTTGTTGATAGCATTACCACCACGCACTCCCTTGGTGAGACAGCCACCCTGGCTGAGTTGAGTTGAGTGCCTCCTTTCCATCTGTTCAGACAGTAGTACCTCCACCACAGCAGCAACAGCAAACCAGAAGCTGCATCACGCTGTACGTCCATGGAAGTCTGTGAGGAAGTTTCCCTCAAGCGATTGAGCATTAGACAAACTGTTGGTTGAATTCATGTGACTGGTTCATGATACTAGTTTTCATTTTATTCGCAGTTTTGCTAGCACATGTGCGTGACATCAATTCTAGTAATGTGGTTAGTGTCTGCGTAATTATCAAACACACACAGAAGCCTTTTATCCTGCTAAATCCTGGATATTTTTTCATCTTATTTGTGTCCTTACCATGGGGAGTTAGTGGGAGCTCATTATTTGTGTATTCTAAGAGATGTCTAGTGCTGTTGTGTCTTAACTTTGGGTATATTTGAATCTGTCAGTGTCATGTAATATTCCATTTAGACTCCGCATGATTTCTATTCTACTTGGCTTGTATTCAAGAAATTCTTACCCTGTGTGTTGTTGAGTTTGTAGATTGGAAAAGACAACTTGAACCCACTCTCTGCAGAAAAACCTCATCCACAAGACACAGAGTTAACACTGAGCAGGCTTGCATATTGTAAAAGTATTCAATCATTTCTACAGAAAGATTTCAACATTGGCAGTAGACACTAACATCTCTTGACTTATTAACTCCTTGAGTCCCAAGGAAAGCATCATAGGTTCCTGCCTAGAAGCCCAACTACCCCTTGGGCCTGTGTTCCCAAACTCTCTGGGACTTAAAGAGTTAATACCTTAAAAAACACTGCTAAATGTGTGTAACTTATTCTCTACAAAGAGAGAAACTTGGCAGTTACTGTTACTGAACATGTCTGTCATGATTTTGTCTGTACCAAGAGAATAAAGATACTCATTTATGTTAGGTGCATAGGCTTAAATGTGAACTTCATATATTAATTACTTTTTTTTTTTTAAATACAAAAAGTACAGTATTTTTCTATGGTTGTATAAGTGCTTTACAGTTTAGTAGTTTTTTTTTTTTTTTTTGACTACTACATACATCAGCAAGATCAAGTTAGTTGGACATGATGTGCGAATCAAACACGGGACTGTGCAGTAAATGGGTGTTGGTATTGTTCTTCATGCAGAGGCCCCTTGTCTCTCTCAGCAGTAGAGTGCCCTTTCATTTGTGAATCAGATTTTTTTTTTTTTTTTTTTAGTGATCATTTTTTTTTTAAACATGAGAACATTCCTTATGTTTCAAATTTAACTTGTGTGTGAGATGACCATGTGATTCCTCAGTTGTTGTTTTTTTTTTTTCTGTCTAAATGTCTAGTTATTGTGGGAAGAAAGACTTGCCAGTCACGAACCAGTAAATTTATTAGGCGTTTCACCGATCTCTGGAGCAACTCACCTACATATGATTGTCTTAGACTTATCAATCTGGGTATCTTTACAGCATTCTGGGCACGTCCATAGGTGTTTACATTTCCCCTATATACATACACCCCCCCCCCCCCCCCCAGGAATGGTGCCGGTCCTTTGCTGGCTAGACTTCTTGTCTGCGCAGATAGACTAAGTCCGTGTGGTTGGCTTCACTTGGAAAAATCTGGACATGCTTGTGTGGCTCTAGTTTGCCTGATTGGTTGTGTGAAGCTGGATCATTGAACGGAACAGTGGTTTCTTTCTTCTGACCCTCTGCCTGTGTTGTTCTGTTTTACATGACATCTAGCAGTTAAAGTTACTTCAGTACTAGACTACAGAAACATGCACAAGGATTTGAACACTCCACTTAGAACAGCTGTTATTGTTTGTGGCAGGCCAGCATTTATAATTCATTTCTTTACATGACAGTTTCAAATCTTGTGGGTAAAAAAAAAAATTTCTTTGTGGCTAATTTGCGCTGTGTATTAATTAAATGCCTGTAGACTTGGAGGTTTTACCATGTTTACGAATGTTTTAGTGAGTTAGAGCAGTGGCTAGGGTACTGGGCTCTTGTTTGAGAGACACTGGTTCAAATCCTTGGTAAGGTGGTGGAGGGTTTGTTTCTGTCTGGAACAAAGATAAAGAATCCTAACCTCTTGGTGGCTGCACTAGACCTGGTACTAAATCCTTAGGCTCAGAGTCTCCTCTGTCCTACACCCCTCTAAAAATTAAACAGACAGTAAAGACAGCTTTTTATAAGCTTTTATTGAGTTTGCTTTTGTTTGTTTATTATAATTTTTGCTTTTGGAACGCTTTTTAATTACTCCCTTTTATTAAACTCTCTCCACTCTGTATTTTCCTGTCACACGGTTATCGTATCCCTTCTTTTTGCTCTTTCTGCTATCTTTTCTGTGTTTCCTTATTTCTGTCAGTGTGGTTAGTATTCATTTGGTATATTACTTTTCTTACTTCCAGCCTTGTATAAATCTCCTTCATATTGAGTGTTATTCAGACACTTATATTGTCACACAGATGACCTATGTTGTAAGCATCTTTAACATTGTGTCTGATGTTGTGTATAATTTCACTGACATTAATACTTGCTGCTGAGATGAATACTGTTTATTTTGCTTTTCGGATGCTGGGAGAAGAGGGGTGTGTTATAAATAATCACTTGAAAACACACAACAAAAGTAACAACATAAAAATTGCTTGCTATAGATGCTTTTGTAATCCATTCCATATATCCTGCTCACTGTAGCAGTTATGTATCCCCTTGTGGTGCTTCTTGATGTGGAGCTGTTGCTGATAATTCCATCCAACTGGAGGGAATCGATGTGTATTGCTGGTTGTTTCTCTGTTGGTGGAGAAGGTGCACAATGGGAAGTGTGTGTAGGTTGGGTGCTAGTGCTCCTTGCATGTATGTATGGTTTATGATAGTATGAGAGCAAGTGGTCATTGCATGTGTGTTTGTGGGGTTTATGATAGTATGGGAGCATTGAAGTGTTCATTTCATGTGTATGTGTCTTCATGGTGTATGGGAGCAAGTGATCTTTGCATGTGTGTGGAGTTTGTAGTTGCTGGGTGAGCTAGTGCTCAGTGCTTGGTAGGATAAGAGATGTGAGAATGGCAAGTGTGGTCGGTTGACCTAAGACTGTTGCGATCTCATTACTTTGCATCTGTATATAGTTAATCATTGTTAGATGATCATGTGTGTTGCGGCCACAGCTAGTTTGCTGGTTGTGTACCGAGACAGGCAGGTCGACTGCTGACTCTGTGGTAAACTTCATACACAGACAGGCAGGATGACTCTGTGGTAAACCTCATACACAGACAGGCAGGCCGACTCTGGGGAACCTCATAGGCAGGTTAACTGCTGATTGTAGGGGTTACCTCATACAGACAGGTTAACTGCTGATTTGGGAACCCGTACAGACAGGCGAGCTTGCTGCTGACTAGGACAGGCAGGTTGACTGCTGATTTGCAAACTTCGTACAGTGGCAGGTTGGCTGTTAACTCTGGGGACGTTTTGTGTGTAAGTTTGTAAATATCATGTTTGCTACGACTGGATTATTATTGCTCCCAGAATAAACTTTGGGCAGCCAGCTTGAAAATGTAACAGAAGTGTCAGCATGTTCTCCAGCTCCATCTGGGAACAAAGTGTATGTGTGAGATGTAATGAGAGGAAGGTGGGTGCTCAGCCTAGCATTTTTGCTTCAGTCTGTGGGATCCTTGGATGTTGAGCATTTATCTGTCACTGTAGTTTGTAAATGCATAGACTTGTTGACTGTCAGATACTGGGTAGTGTGTGTCAAGGTCAGGGTTGTGTTAACTACTACATGCTGTATGTTAAAGACTAGGTGATGCTAAAACAAAGAGTTCTGTAGTTAGGTAAGTGATCCTATAGAGCACATCATCCTTATGTGTCTAGTGCTGAGGATTTCACGTTCATAAGGTCACAGTTTGGTAGGTAATGAGTTCTCCTTTGCCGTGTTTTCCTTTCCTGGCATCTGTTTTACAGATCCCTGCTGTAGTCTGATGCCTGTTTGACAGTTCCGTGCTATAGTCTGATGCCTGTTTTAGTATTCTGCTTTAGCCTGATGGCTGTTTTAGTATTCTGCTTTAGTCTGATAGCTGTTTACAGTTCCCTGCTTTATTCTAATGCCTATTTTACATAGTTTTGTGCTATAATCTGATGCCTGTTTTACAGTTCTCTGCTGGAGTCCGGTTTGAAAGCAGTCACAAGGTTCACATGTTGATAAGATTTCCTGATAACCCCATTCTAATATAAAATTAAGTGCAGCGCTGTTCAAACTAGTTTCCTTAGACTTTGATTTCTTGTCCACTTGGTTATCCATTGATGTACATAGTGTGGGGGATGACATTAGGTATTACTAAGTAAGAGACATATGTTAGTCAAGATCACGTTGGGTCTGGCTGGCTGGTGCGGTTAGTGTTAATTGTATTGCCAATTATAATGTAAATTGTATTGTACACTGATAAGTGAAATTGTGGGAAAGCTGGCGGCAGTGTTAATTTTATTGCTTTAAAAATAATTATTATATCATGGAAAGACAAACACAGAGGTTTTAGGAGCAGCAGTCAAATTGAGAAAATACAGGACATACTCAGGATGTTTGCACGCATACTCTTTTTCTTCTCCATCTGTAGATAGTGAAGAGTTTGTCACACTTGTGGTGCCAGTTGAGACCTGGTTAAAAGTCTAGTCTGTCTTGTCTCTTCTTCCTCTCCCCTGCATATTCAAAGTTGTCCACTCCCTCTCCCCCACTGTCCATATGATGATCTTGTCTGTTCTGTTAATTAGACAGCCTCGGTGATGAAGTTTTGTCCAAGATACCTGCATGTTCAGTTTGGGTATGTGTTTTCCTTTGTTGTTGGAGAACCACCAAAGACATGAAACGCATTCAAAAACAAATCGTTGAGGACAATAATAAACATACAATTGAATGAATTCAATGGGGGTGCAGAAATAAGA